GGTGATAAGTAGCTTCTCTCGTTCCGAGCGGGGATACACAACCTGAGAGAGAGAGAGAGAGAGAGAGAGAGAGAGAGAGAGAGAGAGAGAGAGAGAGAGAGAGAGAGAGACGGATGCTTTCTATTATGTCATGCCCGTGGATTATGAAGAGTCGGCGTGGAGAAAGCAATGTTATAAGTGCAATAAAGAATATAATTGATGCAGATATGGCCAGACAAGGCGTTTAATGGATTATGTCAATCATTGGCAAAAGGGCAGCGAAAGCAGTGGCCATGGGAGTATACACAGTACACAGTCACACACAATTCACTTACTTGATCGGTCAAAACAGCATTGTGCAGTTTAGACCGGTTGAGGTAGCGTTCAGCAAAAGATTTGAAAGAAGAGCCAAACTCCTCTGGCAGAATGTAAGCAAACGGAAAAGCACAGAAATTAGTCAATGGTTAGCATAAAAAAATAGACACATCTGCAGTTCCCTGCAATTGCTCATCCACGCACACGCACGCATGCACACAGACACATACAACCACATGGACACACACACACACACACACACACACACGCAAGTACCCGTGCCCCCCCCCCCCCCCACACACACACACAGACAAACACACATTCATGGTGACTCACCATCGCTGCAGGCACAACGTTTGAAACTGGAATGTGCCATATTGTCCAGTCCAGCAACGACGGCAGAGAATCGCCGGACAAAATATCCATCCTTCACCACACAAACATCATCACAGAACACAACAAGTATGTCAGTAAGAAAGAAACATACCGGTACATGTAGTGTATCATGTAGGAACATGCCTACATTGTAGCTCTGACTCATTCTCAAAAGTTGCAGTAGGGCATGAAAGTGATGATGTCAGAAGTCAATAGGGATAGTATCCAATCCACCGCTCTGACCACGGTGAAGTACCCAATGGGCACACTTCTTCATGTCGCATGCTGGTGCAATGGGCATACTACTCATGCCGCATGCTGGTGTGGTCTGGTTTGTACTAGCAGTGCGTCCCCGACCGGGAAAGCCCAATTCAGTCACTACTGGTCGACGTGTCACCCTACTGTGCAGGAAGTTAGCCGGGAACCTATCCAAACAGGCATGGGTCCATACAAAAACTGGATCCAAAAGTCAGCGTTGTCGTGGTATGACTTGGCTGTGATGTATCAAGTCGCACTTTCAAGCTGTACGAGACCATGGATAAACGCTGACTGAAGTGTATGTGGAGGTCGGGTACATGTACTCACGTTGGACAGTAACTCCCCTACTATCCTCAATAGCAGGTCCTGGTTGATGTTGTCAAAGCAACCCTTGATGTCCATGGCAACAAAGTACAGCGGCCTGCAAAGTGGACACAGCAGCAGCAGCAGCAGCAACAATGAAAATGACAGCAACTTACATTAGACAGGGCTGAATCGGGGCTGAGTCGGTGCTGTCGGCAATGCTCACCGTAAGCTCAGGCATATGACACAAAAGTGCTACATACTAGAAGGCAATTAGGTGCCGGTTATCCGTGATCTTCTCGACTGCCTGTGTATTTATGTACTCGTATGTGATCAGCAAACTCTGGCTGTATACACACGTCTACTTGTCAAGGTTCAACGGGAGGCATGAATCAAAGATGGGTGGTATGAATCGAAGATGGGAGGCATGAATTGAAGATGGGTGGTATTTTTGTGCCGGGAAACTTGTCCCATACTAGTATTCGGCAGGTACAGCCAGCTCTGGTACACTTGTCAGTATGACTGTACACAGTTCATGACCTGTATTTCAATGCAGGGCTGGTATCACAGTGCGTACAGCTGAAAAGGGCTTGCTCCGCAAAACCAAATGGCGGGAAATAATGCATAATTATGGTGAAAGTTGTACAATTCGATTGGAATTGAGCAGGTGCTCCCAGCATCACAACAATACACACACACACACACATGTACCTGGTGTCATTCTCTGCACGGCGCTGTGCCACAAACGACTGCCAGTTCTTGTAGATGTCCTCCACACAATACACAGATGCACCAAACAGGTCAGTGTGTTCATCCTGCAAGTGACAGAGAGAGAGAGAGAGAGAGAGAGAGAGAGAGAGAGAGAGAGAGAGAGAGAGAGAGAGAGAGAGAGAGAGAGAGAGAGAGAGAGAGAGAGAGAGAGAGAGAGAGAGAGAGAGAGAGAGAGAGAGAGAGAGAGAGGGGGGGGGGGTGAAGTGGGGGTGACTAGCCGGTCAGGTACCAAGGCCTGTTGAAGCCGCCGAGACTAGCATGGATTGAAGAAAAGCGTGTTCAAGAGTATGTTGCGTCACTGCTAGCATGATCACTGCTGATAAGACATGGTGACATGTTGGCTTGTTTATTTCTGCACTAAAGAACACGACTAAGTCATGAGATAGAACCAGAGGAAGCAGCACAGTGACAGAATTGGTCACAGAAGATACAGAGATAGAGCCAAACCCTGTGATGATGATGTTGCATGGAAGAATACAGAGTCAGAGTACAGGTGCATGCATAATAGGCTGGGGATATCAATAGCAGTTAGACACAATCGCTATTACCTGTTCAAAGCGCAGGATGTTAAATGCAGCCGTCAGGCGGGAATTGACTGAGCTGCTGACAATAGGCTGCTGCTGCAATGCCCACAAGAATACACACGCACAAACGCACAAACACGCATGCACACAGATACATAGCCGTCAAACTCCCAGGCCGATCGGTGAAGGCAACCGACCGGGCATTTGATAACATGCATGCTTGCTGCTGGCACCATCCGACCATCGTCCTCCCCATGGGCCAGTCCGTTGCATGTGGTCCCCAAACCGAATGGTGACTGGCGCCCATGTGCAGATTACAGTGGCCATAATCATGTAACTGCAGCTGACCGGTATCCAATCCCACATATCCATGACTTCTCTACTGCTAGCCTTCATGGAGCCTCAGTCTTTGTGCATACCATCAAATCCCTGCTGCAAAAGACGATATCCCGAAGACGGCAGTTACAACCCCGTTTGGATTGTTCGAATTTGTTCCCATGCCCTTGGTACTCTGGAACGTGACCCAATCGTTTCAGTGTTTCGTTGATCAAGTTCTGCATGGTCTAGACTTCTGCTTTGTATACATTGATGACATCCTCATTGCCAGTTCTGATGCTGAGACTCATCGCACACATGACGTCCGCTCGGTCCTACAGCGTCTGCAAGAGCACGGCCTTGTCATTAATCCTGCAAAGTGTGTATTCTCTGTCTCCTCCATCGAGTTGCTCAGTCACGGTGTCAGTCATCGCGGTATTCAGCCAACATCCCGGCGTGTTCATGCCATTCACCAGTTCAGCCCACCAACCTCTCTCCGTCAGCTTTGTGAGCCTCTAGGTATGGTGAACTTCTACCGCCGTTTCTGTGCCGCCGTCGTTAAGCCTCTCACAGATCTGACCATCGGCAAAAGTAAGCATGACTCTTCATTCTGTTCGTCTGAAGCTGCTGCCTCTGATTTTGATCATGTGAAATGTCTTCTAGCTGCCACTACAGTATTATCACACCCTACCCGTGAGGCACCAATCAGTACCATGTGTGATGCATCTGATTATTGTGTAGGAGCCACGCTTCAGCAGTTTGTTAATGGTGCTTGGCAGCCGCTCACTTTCTGTAGCAAGACGTTTCCCCCCACTGAATGCCATTATCCTACTTTTGGTTGCAAATTATTATTATTATCTGGCTCTTTATCTAGCTGTAAAGCACTTTCGTCATTACCAGTGTGTTGAAAGTCGGTCATTTCATGTCATGACAGATCACAATCCGCTGACCCATATCATTCACTTGCCATCAACTCGCCATTCTCCCAGCGACGCACGGCCCTAAGTCTTGTCCTTCATAGCCAAATTCACTACCCACATCCGCTACTAGTATGTCAAGGGCACATTATCACGACCACTGGATGCTATTGTCCAGCCAGCCAGCCTCCGTCGACTTCATTGCCCTCACTATCACTCAGAGCAGCTATCCTTGAGTTCTTAACAACAACACCACCAACACCAGCAACATCAGCAACACGACGAGCAATGGACTACAGTTACCAGCCGCAAACAGAGAGGCTCTCTTGGTTCCCTGCGAAAAGTATACTTTGTTGGAAATATTGACGACAGTTGCGACGTAGACTCCATAACGTCACACTGTGTGCAGAATGGCATCACACACACACAGCTTGCCGCACCTTTCCTTCTCGCAAGCATGTAGGCACAAAAGCTGCAAGGCTTACAGTCCGAGAAGACCAATGTGCAGCCATCAAGACAGATGGGTTTTGGCCAGCGCCCATTCAGGTTCGGCCACGGGACTTCAGCGAGGCAAATAGGCCCACAGCCACCAACTAATCGACCGTGTTCCCACTCAATCCCCACGCACCAGTCTTCATACCTCGCACCTATCGTGCCCAACCCCAGAGCACCCACAGAAGTAAACATAGGTCACATTAACATCAGAAGTCTTCGGAGTAAGGTTCATGATATTCATAAAATTCTGCATGATCATAAAATCCACGTCCTCTCTGTCAATGAGACCCACTTGGACAGCAGCATTAGTGATTATAATTTGAGCATACCAGGGTACAGGATCTACCGCAACGACAGAAACCTCCATGGGGGGCGGTGTATGCTTCTATATAACCAACCAGTTCCATGCAACAGCACTCCCCCTCCTAGGTATCCAGATCTTGAGAGTCTGCATGTAGTACTTCAGCCAAGCAACAACATCCGTTCCAGTAAACCCGTTATCAGCACTGTGCACCGTCCCCCCAGCGCGACAGTTGAATTCTGGGAGCGTCTCTCGCAGCAGCTGGACACTCAAGTTACACGCCTTGGAAGGCGTGTTGTTCTTGGCGACTTCAACACCAATGTACTCCAGCCCCGATCACACAACTACGCCCACCTGCAACAGCTTTGCTCCAGCCACTGTTTGTCGAATGTCGTTAAAGTGGTTACACGAACCCCGTCCAACACCTGTCTCGACTTAGCCCTAGTAGAAGATGTCCTCACAGTCGGCCATGTATCTGCCACGTCCCTGCACGATATTACTGATCACCACCTAGTTAAAGTGGTACTCCAGTTAGCAGACTGGAACCCCCCCCCCCCCCCCCCACCTGAGCATAGCTATCGCCTCGTTCGAAAGCCGGGCATTTCCAGTATCGACTATGCCCAGTTCGACAGAAGGCTGCAGGCCAGGTTGGAACGGAATCCTCCAGATTGTGCGTCTCTAAACAGCTACACTGAACATGTGATCGCATCCATCACCACCACTACTGATGAGCTAGCACCCATCCAACGTATCCGTGTGTCCAATTGTCCCAAACCTAAGCCTCACCCATGGGTCACACCTCAGCTAAAGCATTTGATGCAACAGAGAGCAACTCTGCATCGTAAGCTAAAGCGACAACCTGGCAGCACTGTTGTCAAACAGCAGTACAGAGCAATACGTAGGAAAGGAAAACTCCTCGACCGAAAGCTGAAGTTGAATTACCTGATCCAGAGATTTACTGCATCGAAGCTCGACCTTCGCGGGCAGTGGGCACTGCTGAATGCCCTCTCCGGTAGACGTAAAGTGAAGAACCAGCCTACTGCATCTCTCGATAAGCTGACAGCAACATTTGCCAATATCGTACACGATCCAACCCGCCCCACCAGTATATGTCTCCGTCCGAGCACTCATCAGCCGTACCATGCTGCTCAACTTTCCCAGTTCCGACCTGTTACTGTAGAGTGCATTACTAAACTGTTTAAGTCAATCAACACAAGCAAATCACCTGGTTCTGATAACGTGCTACCGGCAGTGCTGAAACATGGCCGGGAGCCCATCACTGCTTCCATCACGGATATAATCAACCAATCGCTCCGCACTGGCCATGTTCCGGACTTATTTAAGAATGCTACGGTAAGCCCGGTTTTCAAATCTGGTGATTCCAATTGCTCTACCAATTACCGCCCAGTTTCGTTGCTGCCTCTTTGTAGCAAAATACTAGAGCGTGTTGTCTTGGAGCAGCTCAATGCATTTTTCAAGTCTAATGACATTCTGAATGTGAGGACTGCCTGGCCCTAGTTGTTGATGAATGCCTGAAGGCTCTTGATGAGAATGAGTATTGTGGTGTAGTATTTGCCGACATGAGCAAAGTATTTGACAGAGTGAACCATCAAGGCCTAATCAATGAACTGCAGAATGTTGGGATAGCTGGCACCGCCCTTGCATGGTTTGCAAGCTACCTAACAAACCGCATTCAGAGAGTTCGAGTAGGACAGGCACTCGGTGATGCCCATCCATGCACAAGAGGCGTCCCTCAAGGCTCTGTCCTTGGGCCACTGCTCTTTTGTATATACATCCGCGATGCACCACAATGCTTCAGGCATTCATCTAACAAACTCTTCGTAGATGATGTAACTTTCCATATCCGCAGCCATTCGTGTCAAACAGTAACTACTCGACTGAGTGAGGACCTGGCTGCTCTCGATGGCTATCCTGAAAGAAAAGGACTGTTATAGAATCCATCTAAGACCCAGGTTTTAATACTTCGCCGCCCTGGTAAAGAGCTGCCACCTGGTACAGCAGTTCTCTGTCGTGACACCCCAATTTCCCCCTCTGCTTCCACCCGCTATTTAGGAATATTAGTTGATGAGCATCTATCCTTTTCAGACCAAGTAGCAGCAGTGTGTACATCTGTTAACAAGAAAGTAGGAGCCTTTGTGCATGCAAAACAGAATATCAGTATCTTTGGCAAGCGACTGTTCTACCTCTCTATAATTCAGTCTACGCTTGAGTATGGCAGCACCGCATACGTACACTGTTTGTCGCAAGCTCTTTATAACAAACTTCTTGCTGCCAGCCGCTTAGCGCTAAAGAGAATTTTTCCTTGGATAGAATGACCCCAACTGCCCTTCTCTACAGTAACACCAATGTATACACCCTTGAACAACGCCTCAATTTCAAGACCTATGTATTTGTGTATCGCTGCCTGAATGGCCTTGCTTGCTCTCTCCTACAAGACCGCTTTACTCTTCGTGCTCACGGTGCTCACACTGCTGCGCTTACCCGTGGTCAGGTGTCTGCCACGCTTGTTTTACCCCCTGCTAGCACACGCTATGGTTTCAGTGCAATTTCTTACGTAGGCCCTGACCGGTGGAATGCACTGCCACCTGCTTACCGCCTTTCTAATCCACCTGCTGAATTTCGTTCATCCATCAAGACTTTCTTAGGGTTCCCTGTAAGAAGGCGATGACGCCTGTTGGGAATTCCCTAGAAAAATAAGAATAATAAATAAATAAATAAAATTCTTCCTCGCTCTGTGAAATAACAATTCATCTAGCTGATACGGAAAGAGAAAAGGACCTACCTAGTTACTAGTAGTGACTAACAGTCCACCAAGGTAACCAAGGTAACGAGATAATATACAGTCAGATAGTGCGACAACAAGGCACAAAACTTGACAAGGATATTGAGACATTTGACGACCTGACACCTAGCTCCACCTAGCAACTAGTAACTTCTAGGTCCTTTTCTCTTTCCTTATTACTATTGGCTCAACATCCGAGTTTTTTTTCATCTAGCTTGTAGTGTGTCAATACTTGTCATTTCCAATGTACTTTGATGTACACTAATGATTGCAAGAGGTACATGTTGTATGACCGTAGCAACCTTATACGGCTATACTTATACTTGTGTCCTTATCCGGCCATACTAATACTTGTGTACATTTTTCTTATCTTCCTCCTTCGTCGGATGGCTTTTTGATTTGCAGTGATTTCGCTCAGAAAACATGCCTGGTTGTCACAAAAGTGTGCACAATAAAAGGGTATGAGAACTAAGCACGGCATGTATCAGCAACAAAAAAGTGAGAATGAATAATAATAATAATAATAATAATAATAATAATAACAAAAGAGGTGACAAAACTGATACACACATGCCACGCTTAGTTCTCATACCCTTGTTTTGTGCACACTTTTGTGACAAATATCACACCTTGATATTTGAGTGCTGTCATTGTAAACACGCCTGTAGTGTAGCATTTCCCTATGGTTTCCTGGTGGATTGGTGTGAAGAGGTGGGATAAACCTCTTACTACAAGAGCAGACCGGGACTGAAAAACCAGCAATGCGTGCAGTGTTGAACTGCCGAGACTGCACAGCAACACGCTCAACTCACCTGCTCGCCACTCAAGTGGCGCAAAAACCCAGGAGAGGGCTTGTAGGCCAGGTTGACGATGGGCCGTATTCCACCACCGGACTTGGGCACAAGGCGTATCATGGAGATGCCGACGGCCGTGTGAGCACGTAGCAGAGAGCATGCCTGGTCATGGCCGATGGGCTGCATGAACTCCTTGCCGAGCTTGTCCCGAGCACGACGGTGCACTTGCCGCCACAGAGACTTGCGGAAGAAAAAGAGCTTGTTGCGATGACACGACGTATCGGTGATGTAGAAGCAGGTCTGTACAACAACATAGAGCATAGGTTACAAGCATACCTTGGTTAACTTACAGGTCAAGATCAGGTTCATACACTGAATTCCTTCAGCATGGTGCTCTAGAGTCTAGACATGTACCACCTCCAGTGGTCAGTATTGTTGGTCGTATTCCAGGACGAGGGGCTCATTGGCGGGCAGTGTGCATACGAGAACGCCACCATAAACAAGGCAACCATGTTTGTCCATGAAGCACTGTACAGTACTGTACCTTCTGCCAACTTCTAGCCACTGACAACAGTCCAAGCTGACAACACGGCAATGAGAAGGAAAGCAAGAAGTAAGACCCCACAAGAGATGGTATAGTAACGGTACGTGTGAAAGCCGAAGACAGTGACTGTGATGTGTGCCTATAGTCCGTACCTTGAGTATGTTGATGATGACGTTGTCCACCAGCCAGTACAGCCACGTCTGCAGCAGAGCCTGTCGCCGTGCACTGAGTTGAGACGAGGCTTTGCTGCGGCCGCCACTGCTGCCGCCACCTCCACCAACACCACTGCTACTGCCACCGCTGCCACTACCGCCACCACCGTGACTGCCAGTACCAGGTGGATAGAGCCAAGCACAATGACTTGCCTACGTGTGACAACAAAGTACATGTAGAACATATTATGATATTAGCAAGCCAGAAAACAGAGTTCAGGTGAGTTCATTTTGCCTCATCTGCTTCATGCAGCTCCTGGATGAGCCAAGTTCACTTGAGATAGACTTAGTAGCTCTAATATAAACCCATCATGATTCTTCGTATGAAGTAGGAAGCAGTTGTATCTCAATTAAGTAAGCATGAGACCAAAATTGAACAGATGGAGAACAAGACACCTAAGCTGAGCATGGCAACTTGGTGCCAGGTGAAATGGAAACAGCATCCAGTAACAGTAGTAAGTCTGCATTCCACTGACAGACGGGGGGGGGGGGCTAAGGATTTAACACCTGACACGGTACAGAGTATGCGTTGTGCTGCTGGCTCACCTTGAACCCAGACAGGAACTGGTGCACAGAGAAGGTATCCAGCCTGTGCAGATGTACAAACTCATCTACATCTGTGTTGGTGGCACAGTCAAGGATAACCACTTTGCAACATTTGAAGTATGAAGTAGAGTAGGCAACCAGCAATACTGCGACAAACTCCAAAAATGTTTGTGATTATAAGCCAATGCATGCACATACACACGCACGCACGCACACGCACACACACGCTTGCATGCACACACACGCTTGCAAAAGGATACGCTTCATGAACACGTTGAAGTTATCAGGTGAGCCCCACAGATGACGAGGAACTGCTTTCTTCAAAACGGCATGAAGAAAACGTACCACCTGGCAGCAAACAGGAACAAGATCATGGTAATACAAATGCTGAGGAAACAAGCACAAACTACTGCGAGGTATTCAGTGTGCATTACCCCGGATGCTGAAATGGGATAACACAGAAGTGGGCCTTTAATAGGGCGTGTTCGTCTGGTACAGAACTAGAACAGGGTCACTCGGAACATGCATGCTCGACTGACCTGCACCGGATCTTGAGTGTACGGAGCATGCTCTGGCTACTCCAGGCCTCGAGGTCGAGCAGTTTCGTTTTTGCTGCTACTTACCTTTTGTTTGGAGATTTTACAGGCTGCACACGGGCACGCACATAATTACTATTTCTTAATTTCCCCACACAACCGAAAAAGGATTAACTCAGGCGCCATGATTTCCACGTCAACATTACAGAAACTGCTCTGAGCTGCGTGCTGCATCGCGTTTGCGATGAAATTGACTGCTTGCACTGCTCCACGTGCTTTCTCTGCTCTAAGATCACCCCAGGCGAACACACCCCTACATGAAAGCCACTACTAATCAAGAGTGGCCAACTGATAGGAAACTTTCCCTCCCCGTCTGTCTGTCTGTCTGTCGTCTGTCGGTCTGTCTGTCTGTCGTCTGTCTGTCTGTCCGTCTGTCCCTTTCTCATGTGCATAGCCAGCTAACCTGATGTGGAGGTGTGAATTGAGATAGCAGAGCCTCATCACCAGCACCCTGGTGGCCTCCTGCTACACATGTGAACAGACAGATGCACATGCATACAGACATACAGAGAAGACAGACAGACAGACAGACAGACAGACAGACAGACAGACAGACAGACAGACAGACAGGCACACACACACACACAAATGCACGCAGGGTGTACAGTCAACCTCGTGAATACCGACCTTGGTTATAACAACAACTTGTGAAGAATGAAACAATCTTCACACCAAGCGACCACTTAACTGCAAACTTTTAACCTCACAAATAACGACAACTCACAAATAACACCTTTCTAATGCGTGGTAGAGGGCCATCATTCACAAGGTTGACTGTACATGTACATGTACGTAGTACACAAGCGTGCAGAACACACCATGCCCAAAATGCTCACTGGTGAAAATAAAAGGACAACGCAAGCGTCTCACAGAACACATCACAAACAAAAAGCCGCAGCAAACTCCCATGGAAAATCTACCGGAATTCAGCGAAGAGAATTTGTGCCAGAATCAGTGGCACACTGAAGAAATACTCAACATTACGTACACCCAAGTCAAACAAACCTGATTGATCTTGGTTGACCTGACCTGTAGACTGGATGCACACAAAACACAACAACATCAAAACACAACGGCTAAGTGGCAGAACATATTTCGCTTTAGTACTTCGAAGTAAACCATTGGGCGTATATGTATTATGCACTTCACAAAGCGGATATGCCGTTGGCATACAACGTGTATAGTTACAGCAAAACGTTTCCCACCATTGTGAACTTGTGTACTTCAAAGTACAATACAAGTAGATGCACTAACAAGTAGGTGAGATCACAAGGGCTGTTTTTTTTCTTTTTCTTCAAAGACACTGATTTCTTGAAGAGGTTCTGCAGGTCACATCACTCACACACAAACTTGCACAGTCACAAAACAGTTGAACCAACACAGTCTGCCTCACCTCGGGCAAAGGGCACAACTTCCGGAGAAGACAAGACAGCTTCACTTTCCTACAGAAAAGCAAGACACAGTGAACCAATGAAGCTTGTGCATCGACATCGCCAATACGCAGTTGCAGGTGCGCAACACACCCCACACACGTATTGTTAAAATCGGCCCAGCCAATACATCATACAGTGTATGTCGGTCTGGCTACTTAACACGGTTGACTGACCGGAAAGTGATCCGGCAAAAGCTTTACCAAACGGACTGACTGCTACACCCCAGGCAGAGGTCTCTTCAAGGAACTATAGCTTTAATTCAAAGTACTCTGTCTTAGCAGCACACAAGAAGTTAGTACTTGAATAGAATGTACAGCAAAGGAAACAAGAAGTAGAGATTGAGAATTAGCATGAGGTGTGAAATAGTCTGTGCCTGAGCGCCTTACTTGAAGTTCTGCAAAAGACGCCGAAACACTGGCATCAGCTTGTACAGATGAACTGGTAATCGGCTGGTCTGCACAACAACAAACATGCACAGAAATGATCATAGAAAATGCCGTGCATGTACATGATGATGTACTCCACAAGTGCTGCAGCTTGTCAAGTACTTGTGAAGCAATACCAAAGGATGCAAAACAGTGTCTATTTAACTTAGACACCAGCGAGCATGAGAGCTGGGTCGGTGGCAAGAGTCAAAGTCCCTTGAGTTGCCTTCACGTCACCAAGACCATAGTCGTACAGGGGTACACATATACTGGCCACTCCAGCATGTCATGTACTGACCTGACCGACCAATACACAGAGTAGGATCAAGACTGAGCATAGGCACAACATGTACAGTAAAACCTGTCAATGCAACCACTTGGGTAAGGCACCCACCTGTCCCAGAAGGCCACTGTAACCAAGGCCGAGGGATGCCACTTCCAGTCAAAGGACCCTGGATGAGGAGACCACCTGGTAACAGTGACCACTCTTTGAAAGTCCCTTGAGCGGTTGCCTTAGACCAGTTTCACTGTATGCACATCAGGTGGCTATAGACAACACACACTGGCGGCAGCTGATACTCGGCAATCGAAACTGAAGGATTTCAATGACACATGAGGACGCAAGTGGATTTTTAAAAACTGAGCATTGTTATTGTTTTTGCACACGTACGGTGTCACTATTATCACTACTATGAGTAGAGCAGGTAAATGACATGGAACCTACCGTCTTTCTCTTCAACAATGCGCTGATGCACGGCTTGCGTCCGTCAAAGATCAGTCGCAGGAGAATCTCAGTGCCTCGTTGCGACGCTGGCAATTGGTAGAGAATAACTGAGAACAGGACAAGAGATGGTGAACACAGGAACGGCCTAGTGAGAGCAGTAATCAGTACCACTGCAGACAGGGTAATCCACTTTAAAATACACGGTCAACGGACTAAGAGCCAGGCTAAACATGTTCTAAAAATGCTATGAACGGAAAATCCTCAACGGGACAAAGCAATGCGAGAATCCAACCTCAAGTCAAGATCCGTAGTTCCCACATCCACACCACAGCTCCGTACTGCCCCCATGAGGGCTCGAAGGCATTGGCATTCGCAAAAGCATTTTCCCCGCTAGGTAGCTGGCCTTTAGTGTTTCTCACTTCCAGCCATTAAACTTGACTGCATTGTAATGTATATGTGGATAGTGTCTGGATCAGACTGGCTGATAGACCTCTGCAATACAGGAAACAGCTGACATAAACAGTAAGGCATGGACTATCGGATAGCCCTAGCATACATGGTGTGAGACGAGTTCTAAAGCCAGAGCACAAAGCAGCACGTACATTTCGGCGGCAACGTCTCCTGAAGATTGGTAGCGTACAACATCCTATTGCGATGAAACCTCCACTGCCTGGCTGCTTCTCCGTACACAGGTCTAGCAAAGAGGAAAGGATAAACACCAGAACTGATCTCAGTATCAAGTCAACTAGGTTGCTCCCTGCTTGAGTCAAATACCTGAGTTGCTGTAACCTAAGGGCAAAAATCAGGCAAAAGAGGGTTCCTGCTGCTGTTGTTTTATACATAAAGCAGATGTTTATTCAACACTTGAAAAACAGGGCGGAAAGGCACTATGTACTAGGCCCACTCACATATGCATGTTTGTCCCAGTACAGTAAGATCGGGCGCCGAAGAACGCAGGGGCTCGAGCGCAGCCTAGGAAAGTTCTTAATTGTTTGATTCTAGCCAGACCGTTCTTATTCACACGCGCGCGGCGAGTCGAGTGACGTCATGACGTTTGTCATGTACATGTAGTGCAATGTAGTACTTCTTAACTAGTGGGTGTCGTAAATGGGAATGACTGTACATGTAGCAGTTACTGTTTACACGTGTACATGACATGTACTCACCTCCCATGCATGTACAATGTAGATCTACGTACAATGTAGATCTAGTGTTCTTAAATCTGATAATTCTAGCCTGGACTGTTCTTAAATTTTGCCGGTTTTCCAGCCTGGGTGTTCTTCGGCGAGGTGTTCTTCGGCGAGGTGTTCTTCGGCGAGGTGTTCTTCGGCGCCCGATCTTACTGTAGCTTTACAACTTACTGTCTACCAGACAGTACAAACACGTTATCCATGTGCATATGTACAATTGTACATGGTAGGTGATGAAAATGGCACACTCCAGTTTATGGTACAACTCCCGTACCCCGTATGCATGCCTCCGGCTTCCTTTCGTGTTTGTACACACTTCCCTTTCGTTTTCGCACGCTGCTTTGGAATGTAGGTCTTCGTTTGTTGTTCTCCTTGCCAGTTGTGAATAAACTCTGTCTGACACCACATGGCGCAGTGAACATTTCAGTCCACACCAACCTAGTGTGTAGTGTCTTACCTGGCCTAGTAGCAGTGTAGCACTCCACTGGATTTTAGACAGGATTACCCTGCAGTTAGTTTGTTAGTTCGTTTTAAATAAGAGTTTTGTTCAGTTTCTTGCGCAGGACATAGTCATGTAAGCTGTCACAACAGGCATTTGTGTTCAGCATGGCGAGCAGCGATCCCGCAGCATCTTCTGGAAGCGGAGTGCCTGACATCGCAACGCTCCTGCAGTTTCTGACATCTCAGACACAGGCGTCTGCACAAGCGAGACCAGCAGTTCCAGACCCTCATGCAAAGGGTGGCTGTCAACCAGACCAGCAGTTCTGCACCCACACCTTAGTCTGTGTCCGCAGGACATCCAGTATTACTGTCTACTGCAAAGATGGCAGAATTTACCGCTTGGGAGGAGGCCTGGCGCGACTATTCGCAATGCCAACGTCTCGCCAGCAACGATCGTCATACACGCATGTTTGCGTTCAGCCATGCCCTGGGTGAGGACCTGCGCCACTTCATTCGAGAAGGCATTATCGCCATTGCTGATGCCATCCCGGTCCTCCAACAGTATATTCAGCGACAGAGGAACACGCTGCTCGACAGAATTGAGTTCTACAAGGGACGGCAGCAGCGTGGGGAATCGTTCGACTCTTTCTTCACGGCTCTCCGCGAACTATTTCATGCCTGCGACTTTTCTGGATGGTCTGTGTGCAACAAATGCACCCAAGCGATGTGTGAACTTTGCAAGGCATCTCTGTTGAAGTTCAACAACGACATACTGCGTGACCGCATTGTCAGAGGAGTGTATGAAGACGACGTGCGTCACAAGCTGCTAGCCCTCCAGAACTTGGATCAAGATGCTACAGTGAAGCTCTGCCGTGCTGAGGAAGCAGCCTGCCAAACTTCCTCTGGCATTCCCTCCAGTGGCCACGTACACGCAGCCAAAAAATTTCCTTACAAACAGCAGAAGTTGAGCCGAGTCGTTCCCACAAAACCTACGCAAGACAAGCCCGCACCAGCAGGTGAAAGGTGTCCAAACTGTGGTCGTAGTCCTCATACTAAGAGCCCGTGTCCAATGAAAGCCCGTAAAAATTCAATGGCTGCCAACGTGTCGGACATTTCCAGTCCATGTGCCCGCACAAAGGCAAGTCCACAGCATCCGGCAAAGTCGGCCAATTGAAATTGTAATGTGCCTCAGTTCGACATGGCTTTGAAATCACTATCCACACGCAGCTAAACACTGAACCGATCTTTGAAGCCATGTCATGGATTCCGGATACCGAAATGTTCATTGGGGTTGGATTTCATTGTATGTTTGTATATGGAATAGAGCAGAGCTCTGTTCTATTCCAGAGGTGGATTTCAAGTGCCACCAACAAGACATGTGCACTCAATATCCACACACCACTGAAGTGTATGCTAGCAATCAGCCAATGAGACACGGGCGCTCACAGACCGATACTGCCAACAGTTGAAGATGACTCTGGAGCAAGCTGCAATGCAATAGTCCCATGCCCAATAAAGAAAACTCCATGATCATCAATACGAATGATTCGACAAGTCCAAACAAGACAGTCAAATCCGGAGCTTACGGTGCCAACATGTAAACACTATGTTCCATACTAGACGATGCATAAGTATCCGTTTCTTCTCCAGTGGTACTGGTAGCAGTGCTGGTAGCAGTAGCGGTTGACTGAACTACTGCTGAACCTGATGAGGAGATCCACCAGGGCAATGACACTGACGCGCTCGTACTGCGGCTTGAAGAGTTGCAATGTGAGCTGATTGACACGGTCTGTCCTGAGCCACATACAGGCTGGGTGCCTGAATACAACAGAGAAGATAGCTTTCTTGGAATTCAGGACAAGCAACAAGAGAGACAGAGAGACTGAGAGAGACAGAGACACAGAGAAAGACAGAGACACAGAGAGAGACAGAGACACAGAGAGAGAGACACACACAGAGAGAGACACACACAGAGAGAGACAGAGACACAGAGACACAGAGAGAGAGAGAGACACAGAGAGAGAGAGAGAGAGAGAGAGAGAGAGAGACACAGAGAGAGAGAGAGAGAGAGAGAGAGAGAGAGAGAGAGAGAGAGAGAGAGAGAGAGAGAGAGAGAGAGAGAGAGAGAGAGAGAGAGAGAGAGAGAGAGAGAGAGAGAGAGAGAGCTTTTAAATTCCTTGAAACAGTACATGCACTTGCATTTCGCAGGCATCCCTCATGTTCTTCTGGAAAACCGTTGTAAATCCTATGTCAGTCTACAGTCCTGTCTAACTGATAACACCTACTGCTAGCACACAAGCACAGGGTGACACTGGTACATGTACTACTGGTACCACAATGCACACAGAAGCGGGTGTTTTGAAGGTTTTAAACGCATTTTACCCCAAAAGCACCAAAAGAGAGTAAAACATCTCTACTTCAAGGATGCATCAATCTTGCCCACACAACTCCAAAGATACCACTGCCATGCAAGATAAGAGCACTGTACCTTCAGGAGCTGGTAGAGTCGGTCGTGATGGTGGGATGATGTTGCTAGTGTCAGAAGTAACACCAGTACCACTACTACCACTACTAGTAATGCTGCCAGTACCGTTCGCGCAGCTGATCATGCAACCTCCACTTGCACCGGACAGACTAAGGTCGGAGTGGCTAGTGTCTGCCTGAGGAATAAGCCAGGGACTTTGCCTTGCTTGGACGTGAGCGAGACGACCTACAGCAAACAACACAGTACACAATACCGTACATGGGCTACATTAATGCCATGCAGAATTCCACGCCATCATAGATCACACCAGTACAGGTGCTGAAATGTTCCAATTGCAGAACTGACAAAAACAAACAGTAAAATTACTTAAAATTAGTTCTGAACCTGAACCAACCTGAAATCTGCAGGTAACAAGAACTGGGCAGGGGCAGGAACATGGCACACTTGGTGAGCAAGTGGGTCATTAGATCATCACCAATACTGCAACAGCACAACAAGAACAACAAACACAATACACTTGTTTCCAACACGGACAGGTGACCGCCCAATTTGCACATTTGGGTGCACTATCCCAATGGTATTTACAGTTTACATCACGACCGGTTTCAACGAGGGGTGAAACGAATATTATAACGCTTGACTAGGTTCGGTCCAAAAGGGAGTTGAAGCAAAGAAACACAGCTGAAGCAAGACTTTGTTGTCCGGAAGAACACAACAGGGCATGCAAAATCTGCTTCTTTTCTTTTCAGCGAAAGCAGGCTGGGTGCCATTTGTGATTACGCAGCAAAAATAAAAGCACATGACGTCAATCTAGAATGCAGTACAATGCAATGCAGCGCGTGTGCTAGTTTGGGTTGCTGCTAACGAGTACTGGCACAGCTAGTACCCCATGGCTGGTATTCTTTCCCACACTAGTCTAGCATGACGTCACAATGTGTGAAACTCCCTTACAAAAATTATAGTATGCGCTCTGAGTGATAATCCATACTCTTGCTCAGTGCGGAGTACAGACATTGTCCTGAGCACGGATGCAATGAAGTATGTTAGGGTAAGATGTACACGTACCTAGGATACTAAGTACCTGTACACTGTCCTGCTGCCCGTGGGGGTACACCTTATCAGAGCTAACTTATGCTGTACATTCAATCTGATGTTTTCTGAAGAAAAGATAAATGCTCTCAAACAAATGAATATAAAATATAAATGCTCTAAATAATAAATAATAAATGAATGCTCTTTTGAGTCAACTCCCTCAAACTTATAAATATGTCTTGTGACTGTACATACTTTTTCAATAGAGCTTGCCATGCAGCACTCTTCAGGTGGTTGCATGTAGTGTTCGGATAGACATTCTCCAGTGCTGTTGTCCCGGTCACAGTACCATTGTCCACTTTCCCATAGCTCTGTTACAACACACAGGAGGTGACAAAATTAGTACCAAAAAAAAACAGATGACAATGCAGAAGACATTTCAGCACACAGCTGAATACATCTCAATCAATCCAGAATACAAAGATCATATTTCATTGATGTTCAACCAACACAGCGCCAGAAATCTTCATTCGTGTGACTCGAAGCAGAGCATTTTGGACCCCAATAGACCAACATACTATGTCGGCATGCATATTCCCCATGAGTTCCTATAATTCACAGGTGTAACAACAGCCTCACCAAACGATAGCCACACGACAGGACATTCTGACTGGGGTTGCTGTGTTGGCAGATGACCTGTTGGGAGCAAACACAGTAGCAGCAGCAGCAGCAGCAGCATACACAATGCCCATACAAATCCAGCATATTCATTATTCAGTACGAACGGTTGTGCATCAATTCTGGCCATGGGCATAGCCTTATACATGCATCAGCCACCGCTGCTTGATGATTGCTATTTGCATGAAACATAGTAGCAGCAACATTCGTCAAGTTGTCCTTATTCTTGTGAAAACGCTCTGCCGCATTTAGTACTCTGCACAGATACAAATTACACGGTTTAGATATTCCGGTAAATGCGCAATAAGTGCTCAAATAGCTAAGACGCAGAGAGGTGTCATACCGAGGGTGTATTTACAATCACAGCATCTTCATCCTGGTCGGCGTCAACCTGCTATGAAACTGGGATCATGTCCCCTACATCCGACTACCACAACGGACTACACAACACCAGTCGGTGTACAAATACACAAGTCGGCCTCACAAAACACACACACGCACGCACACGCACGCACACACGTACGCACACACACACACACACACACACACACACACACACACACATACACACACACACACACACACACAATGAAGAGGAGCCATATACACTTTGGATGCACTTTTGCGTGCGTAAATCCTGCAAAAAAAGGTGAGTGGATGAAATGCATTTGATCAGAGAGTCGTAAAATACTATTATTTTACGACTCCCTGGTCACGACTCAAGGTCAGCATGTAAGCAGCACCTTGATAGCATTGGCAAGGACTTCATGCTGTGACGAAAATGCCACGTTGAAGCAAGGTGTTGACGTGCACACAGGAGAAGCGATGGGCGACGTCGGCGGACACACCAGGCACGTCGTCAGCAGGGTCTCCAGGAGAGCGGACACGGCGGGCTCAGCCCGGCACACACTCGACTGGGAGATGCCCAGTGATAGGATGTAATCAAGTAGCAGCTGAGGCTCGCTAAACACACTGGTGATCACTTGAATGGCTAGCAGAAACAGATGGATGGCATAAGACAGTGTAGCAACATGATAGTATTAGTAAACTGAGAATCTTAGGATAGAACTGTTCAGCATACAGACCTTCTACTACAGAGGACATCCTGGTTCACAGATTATCCATACTCGTATACAGTCAAACCTGGTGTAAGCGATCTCTGTGTTTAGCGACCACCTGCTCTTAGCGACCGTTTTCCCATGCCCCGACAGTTCTACAAAGACACTGTGGGACCTGGTTCTAAAGACCACCTGGCTTTAACGACCGCTTTTGCTTGCACCGTGGGGTGGTCGCTTAAACCAGGTCTTACTATACATGTAATACTGAAAGAGGTGGCCAATGGTCCACATATGGATGAAATTTGCACAATGCAGGACAATCGTGACCCCTCACATCACCTTGATAGCCACATACACATATGAGAGAGAAAGATCCAATGGGAATCTGTTGTGACTAAGAGTTTCATGCCGCAGCAACCATCAGACAACTGATAATACAACCTGGGGACTAATCACTATACATGTATTACTTTCTATGCGCAAAGCAGGACGATAAAAATAGTTGGACTAGGTGAGACCCGGCCCAACGTGCATAATTGGCACCCCGGGCTCGCACGGCCCTTGACACCCTGGAAGTGATAACAATGCCGCCACATGTACAGTCGTCGCCAAAGAAATTCGACCCGTGAGTCCAAAGTAGCGCCGCGTTTCCATTTCAAATACATCATGCATGTTCCCGAAACTGATCCGAGGCCTACAGGGGCTGCATGAGCCCTTGGCGCTGCTTTCGGCACATGGGTCGGACTTCTTTGGCCACGGCTGTGCATATGTAGATACTACACATAATGGCACAAAATGTAATAATGGAAATTGGTTCTGGGCGCCAGCTTTGCACTTTCGGTCAGATGTCAACTAGCACGAAATTCAGCTCCTTACCCAATATTTTGCCGCAAACTCAGCCCAATATGCACCGCAAGATTTGCGAAACTTTCAAAGAAATTTTCCGCAGGGACAGGATTGTTATAGCTGGTTGTCAAGATTATAGAGTAGTAAGTATCACCTCACACGCACGTGCACTGTACTACGGAGTGGTGCGGCAGTCTTCAGTGGTATGAGATATGTTTAGCGCCGACGCTTGCAGTGATAAGCAGCTGCAACAACTTTTTGTGTAACCTCTTTACACATCGCTATGCAGCTATACGGTATACGCAGGCTGAAGTCACTTCTTTCTGCTTCAAAGTAGTTTCTCGGACACTTGTCTACTCGCAACAATAGACTGTGTGTGCTTCTTCCTGCCGACCGCGTGCATTATTTGAATTCTTTTTGTCTGCATTCACTGTCCAGCCTATCACGCAGGTCCATGTACAGTGCTGCTTAATGAAATCAGGGCTACAGATGGACCAGCTGATAACTGCTTCACGTTTCCTAGGCACATGGACGTATTCAGCATCTGCAAAAGGCAGCGGTACGCAGGTAACATGTGGAAGTCAAGCCACGTCTTATGCGGAACTTGAAATGTGGATGAATTTTGATTTTTCAATACTTTGAGGGAGTTGAAACGGGAATTTTTTTATTTCAGATGCAGGGATCGTTCATTTTTACATAATAAAAGAAATGCCCTTACTAACTCTTCCGCTGCAAAGCGAAGATCAGAAGAGGTTGTACATGTACAATGTCCAACTAGTTGGCAGATGCCCACTACGTGCAGTTTCATTCATTGTCCCATTCATTCATACTTGATAAGTTGATAGTGCGTAATACCTTTGTTGTTCTTCTTCTTGTTCTTATTCTTCTCAGCCATTACGACACCAAGAAAGTGCTTCCTGGCTTATCAAAAGTCGATAGTTGTTTACAAATGCACAGAGATTATGGAACAATATTGTCTAGAAGTCGGTCAACATTTTCCACAGTATACTCGAAGTAAAAGAGGGGGTGGGTAGGGGACCAGGAGTCATAAAGTCTGAGCTACATGACCTCCAAATGCTAAGGCCAAGGAGGTCGGCCAAGGAGCGGCACAAGAGCCAACAAGAAAAAGTCCATCTGTAAGACTTAGTGTAATGACTAATGTACAAGTTTACCCAAGAACTGCAATGCCAATGGTTCATTTTTTATTTTTTGTTGAGCTAGCTACAGTCAACTTCGCCAATAACGACATTCGGCGGGGCATCAGAAAAGTGTCCTTATTCGCGAAGTGTCCTTATAACCGAAGTCCCATTTGAATGTATGTGAACCCATATTTTTGTATAGTGTGATATGCATATCAAAATCAAGCTCTTTTCTTGCTCTATGTCAATGTGTACTTTATTTTCATATTGCAGTTGAAAGGAACTAAAAATTCAATATGCAAGGGAAATCAATTGAAAAATATGCCTTTTTGAGCCATCTACAGGGCCAGAGATATGTATGATGATTACTGTACAATCATGTACAACTACATGTACATTGTATACATATAGTACATAATTATAGGTGTGCTGGTAAATCCAACAATTTTGAAGCCAACATAAAAAAGGAAGAAAAAGCCCCTCCCCGCCCCCCGCCCCCTTGGCTGCATTTTCTTGCATGTGTGCAATAATATCCATCACCAGTGCACCATTATACAATGTAGGTTCTGGTACTTCTGCATGACAGGTACATGTACTTGACTGACAGGTACTTGAAATAGCTGTCAAAAGCCCAGAAAGTCGTTATTCAAGCAGTGAATATGACCACGGGGCACTAAAAGCATGTCGCTATACGCGAATTGTCGTTATTCAGATAGTCGTTATATCCGAAGTTAAATGTATACAGTTAGATGGGACTTTGCTCTGGGCATGGAAATTCGGTCGTTATTCGCGAATTGTCGTTATATCCGCAGTCGTTATTAGCGAAGTTGACTGTAGCTGTCGACGTGACGTTTTCCGAGATGTGTACGTAGATCTAGCTACATGTACCACATGTTTGAATGATCTTTTGAAAACCGCGCGCCACGTGTTGGCATGACCATGATGAGTGTATACATGTACTATATTCAGTATATTGTAGTACTGTGTACATATCGATGATGTCAGCATTCTACAAATCGCCAAGAAATGACGTTTCTTTTACGTCGTGGTCATTTTATCGATACGAGAAAAGTCTCTTCCTTGCTTGATGAATGTGTCAGTAAGGTTTGTCGTCGATCGTCTATAGCAAGTAATAGTATACCAAAGGATTCGCAATCAGCTTGAATCAGCCTATCTGCTGTGCAGAACCGAAATGCCGTCGGACTCTCGGCATCATCGCCGCTCAAGGAGTCGCGAAAGGTACGTTTTACAAGAAGTAATTTCGAAACAGAACGACCATGCTTTGGAAGAAATTATAACTTTGCAGAATAATTCGTTCGCTGTGTTGTGGAGTGAATGTGCCATTTGAAGTACACGCTGCTCCTTTCTCGTTCTGCTGATCCCATTGTTTCAGGGACCATGACAGACATGAGCGCTCCTCGTCACGGAGATTTGGTGGAGATGATCGCCCCCACCGGAGCTACCAAAGCAACGGAGGGGGTATGATGGCATCCCAGGGAGAATCTTATTGGGAGGAGTAAGTACATTGATCGAGTGTAACCTTGCTCCTTGCGGTAGTGGTGGTGGTGCGGCTGCTGCTTTTGAAGCTTTGCTTGTAGCGAAGATAAAACAGCAACGCCAATTTAAATCGTTTTCAAATCACATAATGATATACGGTACACTGGTATTTGTTAGTGTTAGATTGTGCTGGCGATACACGGTACTGCCACAGTACTGGGCAGTGCATTGACAGACTGGCACACGGTTCCTACACTATTAGTAGAACATCTACGAGTCTCACTTCTCCGACATGCAATGTCAGTTCCGGGGACGTAAAAGAACAACAACACACCGTGGACACGCTGCCGTTATCTGGCCATGCACACTCCATGGGGAGTTAAGCAGGCCCGAAGCAATCAGGGCAATGATGACAGGACGTGCTTCATGATACTTTGATCCTATCTGCAGACAAAATGAACAGAACAACATTCTGCTTGTGTTGCTATGGCTGAACCTGGACTGCACTTGAGCCATTCCACACCTTGGCGGCAATGGTAGAACACAGCGGTTGCAACTTGCGCTGTGAATGCGGCGATGTCGGCAGGATATGCAGGGTGGGGACAAGTGACTGTGGGGATGGCAAGGGTGTGGTTGATGATGATGGCCGTGTGTAAACTTCCCTTACTCTTTAACCATCTGTCTCACACAAACGTGCACGCGCACAAACACACACACACACACACACACATATCTAGTTGTAACACAGCTGTTTATGTTGTTCCTCTTTCCATAGCCGGCGACGACAGCGTGACCAGATCGCCACGGAAGGTGCACCGGAAGCGTGGGGACTTTCCCCAAAGCATCCACCCCCTGAGTAAGGCACATAGAGCCGATATGGATACATGTACGTGTGTATGTGGTGTGCGATCAACTACAGTACGCCTCCTGATATGTGTCATTTGGATGTACTGAGTACACGATCCACTTGTGTTTCCTTTATTTGGTGTGTAAGTTTTTTTTGTTACACACACTGGGTATAACCAAGTGTATATGGAGTTATGGACTCTTAGTATAATGAAATGAGCATGCTATGTGTTTTTAGAAAGAAGCTCATTGTCCTCGACGAAGTGTACATACTGCTCCAGTGTAGATCTGAATTCTGAAACGATCTTTTCCCCTCCTTTGTGTACAGCTCGGACATGGAGTCGCCGAAGCCCTCTTCATCCGAATCAGGTATGTGCGCATCGATAGCCTAAGCTGAAATTTCTCTGGATTAAAAAAAACGGATGTTGCTGCTCTACTATTTTTTTTGTTACGTGTTTAGCACACATGCACACACTCTCTCACTCATACTCTCTCTCTCTCTCTCTCTCTCTCTCTCTCTCTCTCTCTCTTTCTCTCTCTCTCTCTTTCTCTCTCTCTCTCTCTCTCTCCCCCCCCCCCCCTCTCTCTCTCTTTCCCTCTCTCTTTCTCTCTCTCTCTCTCTCTCTCTCTCTCTCTCTCTCTCTCTCTCTCTCTCTCTCTCTCTCTCTCTCTCCCGGCCCCCCCCCCCCACACACACCACTTTCCACACAATTTGACAGCTTCAGTGACTATTTTCCACCAGTGCATGGCACAGTGTAGCACAGGATAACCCAGATCACGGGCGGTGCGTACATGTATGTGTGTAGTGAAACTCAACTACATTGACCACGTGGCCCAATACAGTCAGACCTCGCTTAACCGCACACATCCGTTTTCCACGAAAATATCCGGATAGGGGAGGGAACCGGATAATCGAACACACGTACTGTATGTATACATAACATATGCTGTAAATCGGTAACCAACCATTTTCTTCCGGGTAGGCGAGGGATCCGGATAAAAGAGGACCGGATAAACGAGGTCTGACTTGGCTATCTGCGTTTTACGGGATTGTGTGTGTATATGTGATGTGTGTCTATTTTCTTGAACTCCATCCCCGCATTGTATGTAGATTCCAGCGATACAGATAGCTCTGAAGATGGGCGCCGGAGAAGGCGAAGGCATAAGAAGGGCAAGAAGAGCAGGAAACACTCGTGAGTCTCTCGTTGCAGTCTGCTCCTAGTATTGCTCTGAACCGTTGATATTTCTGTCTTGATCCTGGCGAATGATCACTGCTATTTCGTCTCTCTCTCTTTCTCTCTCTCTCTTTCTCTATCTCTCTCTCTCTCTCTCTCTCTCTCTCTCTCTCTCTCTCTCTCTCTCTCTCTTGTTCGCTTAGCATGTGTATTGTAAGGATATGTGCTGCTATTCTCACATGTTTTGCGGCTGTGCTTATTATTTGTGATATACAGGAGTCACAAGAAGAGAAAGAGAAAGCATGACTCGGACTCAGGTAAGAAGACCTTTTTTTCCCATTATGGTCCGATAGGTTTCAGCCCCTCCAGCCACGTTTTCTTTAGCTCACTTCATCCCTAATGGAATTCTGCATCATGGTTAAGTCATTGGAACTTTATCCACCCAGTCGACAGATGCTATTGTTTTGTGACTATATCAGAGCCGGTAGATGTGATAGTACCTGCGGCAACAGCATGTATCTAGTCTGGGCTACACTCTACACTCTACATTATCAGTGTTAGATCATTTGGAGGGCTTCTTGTTGGCGTTTGTCTCGTAATATCTGTGTCTACTTTTCCTATCTTTCTCACCGTTGTGTAGATGATGATCTGCGCGACCAAGCTGTGGAGCAAGTGTGGGTCGACAAACAGAGTATGTATGGTGACAGAAATTGATTATCCTAAAATGGCGCTTACCGGTATTTCAATTCTTACGTTGTCCAAGGTCATGTAGTTGAGCTTGAGTATGCATGGTGTGAACGGCACTGCCCATCTGGTATGCGTTCAGTTTGTTTAACCTAGCTACTGCCTTTGTGTGTGTGTGTGTGTGTGTGTTTGTGTTGGTGCTGTAGATGCCATAAACGGTGATGTGGGACCTGTACCACCTACTGCTGGTCAGGAGATGGGCTATCAAGAGTAAGAATTACAGGACTTGTACATGTTTTGAAGTTGACAGCATGTTACAAGGCGGCAGACGCACAGCAGTGCTCCTGATTACAACCATAAACCGGTTGGCTGAGCTCTGCCTTGTAACATGCTATCAACTTCAAAACATGTCAACCTATCAAGCAGGGCGTATATTATTATTTTACCATGACTTGTACATGTACTATGCCTCTATGGACACCTCCATGTTCAGGATGGCGATGTAGATGTATTGCTGTGGTGTGCGAATGTGTTGCTGTAATCAGGCACCTCTATTCACAGGACAGGCGTGTCTGGTCTCCGTATCTCTCAGGTTCCTGAGACTCTTCTTCTCGTCTGCATGTATCATATCTGGTGCATAGCGCATACCGTACATTGTGTGTAGAGGATCTCTGTTTTACTCTTCAAGTATGACTCCATACCTTCTCATTCACTTTCTGTATCTGTCTCTCCGTATCTCCCTCCCATTGTAGCTATGGTGGAGCTCTGCTGCCAGGAGAAGGTGCGGCTATGGCTAAGTTCGTCAACGAGGGCAAGCGTATTCCGCGTCGTGGTGAAATCGGTCTCACCTGTGATGAAATCACTCACTTTGAAGACGCCGGTTACGTGATGAGTGGTAGCAGGTCAGTGCGACGTGTACAGTCATTGTCACTTCTTGTCTTATTTTGAACGTTTTACAACAGATCTTCAAGCTGCATGTGCATGTGGCTCACAATAATACTCTTATAATGCATGTGTATGTGGCTCACAATAATACTCTTATAATGGCTATAGTAAAGTGTATTGTGTTGCCTTGTTGTGTAGGGCCTGGCATCATTGAATCCTTGTCTGCTGTATCAGTCGTGTATGTCTGTGTTTTGCATCCTTTCATTCCCGTCACACGTCAGTCAATTGCTTGGTGTCTTTCGTTGTGTGCTTGCTATTCTGCTGTGCAGACATCGCCGCATGGAGGCTGTGCGTATCCGTAAGGAAAACCAGGTGTACAGCGTCGACGACAAGTAAGTTCACATTCACTCTGTGTGTGTGTGTGTGTGTGTGTGTGTGTGCATGTGTGCATGTGTGTGTGTGTGCATGTGCTGCTGCATGTGTGTGCGTGCGTGTGAATGTGTATCATGGCTGTATTATGATCATTCACCATCCTGCCTGCTCCCTTATTCATCACCGCTTTGTCATGTATAAAGAAGTGCAAACTTCAAACTTCCCATGGTGCATATTCCTAAAAAGTTGAACATGTTTGCTTCTTATACTGAACGCATCACTAACTACATGTAATTCTTTTCTGCACTCTTTCTATACGACAGGAAAGCACTGGCGATGTTCAACTACGAGGAGAGGTCGAAGCGAGAGAACACGCTCATGTCCTCCTTCAAGAACATGGTGCAGAAGAAGGCAAGAGAGCGCGAGATGGGACTGTGATCGGGTACTGTTACACATCATACACACTACTGCTATATCTTTCGGCGTTCACTCATTCATTCGTCATCATCCACTAAAAAAATATTCCGAAACCATATGTCACCATCAGCGCCCACAATGCTGGCTCATTGTGGATGCTGTTGTCTTGTAAATATTTCAAGTAGTGCCGTATAGGTAGAGAACCGGCCGATGCGTTGTGCAATGTGCACGCTTCTTCGCCTGCCTTTGATACGTTTAGGGACTGCTTCTTGTTCAACTTCTATTTCTCTGCCACGTCATTGTTAATTTAGGAGCGTATGCCGGTCATATCCTGTCCCCTACCGCTGTGCATATCAAAGTGTGCAACATTCGTTCAACTATTCACCGTTGAATGCTCTTGCTCAAAATAACGTATTCTTACTGTTTGCATCAAGCCTCGTGTGGCCCGCCAGCTGCAGATTTTTTATATCATTCTACGCACTGTTGAGTTGAACACGCGTGTGAGATTGCGTCGTCCGTTCAATGTGGTATCGTCGCTGTAGTCAACTTTGTTGTGCGTTCAGCCTTGCCACTTCCCTGCGTCATGGAGATCGCCTACTTGTACGATATTTTGTGACTTCTAGCATTATTATGGTGTGAAGTTGAGAGGGAATAAAGTGGAGACAATCACATGATCAGAAGAAGCATTGCTGAATAATAATCATAGTCCATGGCAAAAAGCATTACAAATTATGGAAGCTCACGTTGGGGAAAGTCCTATAGCTGTGTTTCTATCATTACTCAAGGGTGCGGGTCAAGAGAAAGGTGCATTTAGGGCAATCTTCGGTCAGCAAACAATAATAAATGTAGCGGAAATAATTTAAAAAGATATGATCAATGTCGATAGCGTTCATGCAACTATTGCCAACATGTGAAACTAACTTCAAGTGGTTGTGATTGGGCTTGGAACTTAGAAATCCCTGCCTGGATTCATGTAGACCGAAGCTGGTGTGGAGAGGTTGTATGCAACGAGAGCGTTGGGATGCAGCTCCTCGGCATCACTCTCTCCTTCTTGCAGTGCCACCCCGCGAAAAGAATCCAGCGAGTTGTTTCTGCCCACCGCTAGCCACGGTGGCACGGAGCCCCGCGGCAGGGCTGTTACTTGACTATGCAGTGCTGCGGTGGTGCCACGGGCCTGGCCACAATCACAGCCACTGCAAATCGAACCCGGCCTGGTGGTTGCATCGTCGTCCTCGCCAGCTCCTTGTCGATGCACACAAGTGTTCCTGCGTGGCTGGTTGAACGGGAACGGTAGATCAGCAGTCTGCAATACAGTGATCAACGCAACGCAAAGAATGCACCGCAGCGCACGATCAGAATTATGCCTCATCCCTACCCACTGGTCTGAGGGCTGAGATACTGTACAACTTACACAAATTGGCACGTTGCCTTCAAGTTTTTGGAACTTACCACTCAACGATTAAACTTATAAGTAGTAGTTTATGAGAGGACCCGGGTACCTGTTGCAGTGTTTGGCAGGTTTTTCCCCCAATTTGGAACAATTCCTGTAATGAACTCAGATGATGGGCCAAGAAAGCCCAGACAATTCCTGTCACGGACAGTTAGTTATGTTCTGAAATAGACATCGTCCAAAATAGGCACGCAGGAAGTGAGTTGTACGGCGAAGAATGTGGAGCCCAAGAGCGTCCAGTCTGAAATTCTAAGAACGCCACTGGTTTTCTGGCGGCTTTTGGGATACATAAATTATGATCCAGTACGAATTATTTCTAGTAATGTGCTATAAGAATGCAGCCAGATTGCTGAAAAATAAGAACGTCCTGGGCTAACCCCTTCGAAACAAGGTTCTTGGGCGCGCGACTACTATAGACTATATAGTGGCACATGCATTCAGTTTTTAAACTGCAAACCCTGGAGCAGTACAATACTGGGTCTGGTGCTGTGCTACTTCTCCCTGCTTTACACTGTTCCTTACCCGCACAGAGAGTAGAGAGGCTGACTTGTCGGGATTCAGAATCACCACACCGGTGGAGGTGGCGGCGGCAGCTTCGCCTACATATCGCCGTGACGACATGCTCTGCATAGTATCACACGGCATGCCGCGTGGCAGAGTACTCGTATCTGCAGAACAACGCAATCAACACAGTCAGTAACCAGTAGCAAGTTGTCAATACATTCTCATTACAATAAGGTGATACAAAGGACAAAAGAACTTCCTCCGCTTAAAAGTAATACGGTGACATAATTATAATTATGTTGTGCATGTTGCTCCTGACTATGGAAATGTGTTACAGTGATCTACTGTTGTGGACTTGGAAATCCGGTCGCACGTCTAGCGGCCCCAGGGTGCTGGCCATGCAGCCGTGGATAAGCGGTACACACATGCATTTTATGCGCTGCAGCACGCTAGTAGTAGTAAAGTCGCATCGGATCAACATGTGCCCTGTACGCGCCGAGGGCGCCGGCCCGGTCAATCGACCGGATTTCCATGTCACGGCAGTAGGATGTCTGGTCTGGTCCATCAGAGCTGAATACTGCATGAATACTAGGCTGGAGCATTGAGCCCACAATTCACGACTAAGGTCGAGCTAAATGCTCAACAGCCTGCTGGTTTTCATACTGTGAACTTGCAAAGCAAGGTTACTCAGATTCATGTTGGAAGCAAATCATGCATTGTATTCCCAGTTTGGAGGGCCTAAGTGAATGGTCAATTACGGTATGTTGTAAAGGCTCAAAGGACTGCCAAACCATCCGCTGAAGATGGACATAGTATTGGTGGTAACTTAGCAAGAGTAAAAAACATAGCACCGACACGCAGGTGAAGGTCGGTGCCCAGCACATGCTTTGTGAGCTGCACGCTCTTGTTTATGCACTCTTGATGCTGGCTAGTTTACTTACCATGCCTGCCCATAGTACTTGCAGAACGGCTGGGACCAGCAGCTAGGACCACTGGCATGGTCTTGCGCACTTCTCTCTTCCAGCGGATGACGACGGCTAGGACGATGCTCAGCAGCAGAATGCACACGGTGCACAGGGACGAGATGACGATGACCATGCGACGTGAAGTGTAGGGCCGCAGCGGTTTCTCCTCAGCGGCCAGGCTGGAAGCACTGGGAGGCACCGTAGGCAGCCCTTCGTTGACTGATATATTCCCAGTCACGGCATCGGTGATGTTCAGATGCTTGCCAATTGCTGCAAGACACCAACACATTCAATAATTGAAAGAAGTGAAGGAGTGAATACTGTAGGCAAATTGTTTCAACTTAAATCCAGGGAATTGTATGCATGCAGTTATTCTTGGTGACTACGCATACATGTAAGAGGTTGAGGGGAACTTGTCAATGCACACAACACTCCATGGATATTTCCATTTGCTGTGCGTGTACCATTCGTCCATGCGTCATTCATCCATGGATGAGTGTCAATCACAGCTCGCATCGACTGACTGGAGCTCCCACTGTGACTGATGTCATGTTGTGTACAACATGCATGTACATGTGCAGGTAGATACACTTTCAATCCAACAAAGATACAGTCAAACCTCTTTAGGACGAACATCACGGGACCGATGAAATTTGTTCGCAATAACGGGAGTTCTTCTTATCCATATGTTTTACCTAATGAATACACAGGGGTTTATCCAACACAGTTACAAATACTAGTTCTTCTTAGGCAAACCTTTATTTTATCAGTGTTCTTCCTAACGAGGTTTTACTGTAGTTCACACCACCGTGTTGCACGACAATGCTGCCTGGCCCAGACCCTGTGCATATTATTCTCTGCTTACCTGCGTGTGGAGATAGCACATTGATGTCCTCATGGGCGGTGCTGACACGCTGTGCAATGTCGACGATACGCTGATTCTTGGCCGTGCACGAGTACCGCGCGCTGTCTGTGGCCTCCAGGCGGGATAGAGTCAGGATGCTGGAGCTGTTCTGCACCCAGGTGCGAATGAAGATGCGCTCGTGATGCGTCATGCCCAGCGCTCGGCCATCCTTCGTCCAGCTGAGAAACATCGGTTTGTCTCCGTAGGCAGAGCAAAGCAGCTTCACTTGGCCACCCGGGGAGATTTCCCCGGTACGCACAAGCCTGACAGTGGGTGGTACTGAGCAGGAACAAATCAGACACACTCCGGCTCAATCAGTGCTTTAAAAACAGTACTGGACCAGGGAGTAGTAAATTACTTCCGAGTCCTTGATATTGAACATGCTGGAAGCCTTCTATACTGTGAGTGGTGTTGAAATACTTATGAACACGCAAAATCAACATTCATAATACTGCATCAGTAGTATAGAATACATCATTCTTGACTTGTTTTCCTTTTCAACTCCCTCAAACTAATGAAAACCACACATCTTTTTCTCTTTTTCTTTAATGCACACGTGTGAAATTAGCATACGATTGGTAGATGAGAGTAAACTGACATTGGAGAATTATTTTTTTACGACGGTACATATAACTGATGTAAGTTAAACCGGCACTTACTCTGCACGTAGACCCGCGCAGTGGCCGTGTCCCTGGCCCTAGGCAGTCCTGGGAAGAAGTCACTTTTCACGCGGCAAATGTACCGACCGGCATTGAACGGGTTCACCTGTGCACAGATCATAGATACCGGTATATAGAGGGAAATGTAGCATCGGTAATGGTCAGCAACAGACTAGCTAGCTGGCTTTGCACCGGGCTGAGCTCTAAGCCTGCACGCTAACTGACCAACCTCATGCATACATGGGTTTGGAATTGGCTGATGAGAAAATGCTTAGAGAGCTCACTCAGCCCGGGGCAACTGTGAAGCCATCTGGTCTGTTGCTAGCCCTTGCCGATCAGCGGCTACCATTCCATCTGTATACTTGAAATAGTAATGGCGGGCAATGACATGTGTAGCAAAACAAATCACGATTTGCGTGAGACTAGGCTGAAGGCCGAGTTTTCCGCATCCGTAGGAACACCACCACCCTCTCAGCAAATGAGTACAATATCACACACATTGACTCGGAATACCTGAGTGATTGTCAGTAGGCCTCCACTGATCACAACGTTTCCGCCGCTCTCCAGTAGCTGCTCAGTGCCGTTGTACAAATGCCTGTACCACGCGAATGAGACGGGGCCTTCTCCCAGTGAGCTGCACTGCAATGTAACTTGTGCTCCGACCAAAACAATACGCTCTGGATGGCATATGGACACCTTTGGGGGAACTGAAAGCACACATTGCAAATACATGTACATGTACAGACTGGTCAGTATGTGTAATTAGACATGCACGGCAGGTCATGGGGGGACCTCAACCGATTGCCAGGCTTTTACATGCAGGGCCGGAGGCAGCTTCCGCGGAGCGGTGCGGCCGAAGGGCCATCTTTAAGGGGTGTCTGGGGGTCGTCCCCCAGAAAATGTTTGGAATTTAGACGGCAAATCCTGCACTCTGGGCGACTCCCTGTACAAAATCATACATCAAAACTTTTTCTCCCCGGTTTGGACGTTCCACGGCCACGTGGACTTTTGGGGATTTTTTTGGTACGGCCATGGCCGTACCGGCCGTACCAGTGGCGCCGGCCCTGACATGTACTAGCATGTCTATCAAACATTGGCAGTCATTGGCATCATTGCCCAGTGAATGTAACTATTACCTGGTAGGGCTGGGTGAGCAGATGCAATCAGTATACAGGGAATCAACATGGCATCGAACTTACGGTAGAAATCCACACAAAGATGACATTGAAATATATGCAAGCATGCATGCATAGCAGCCAGCATGTACCCGCAGGTCCACTATCCTCGGGTGTGCATGTAGTACTGTCGGTCGCCGAAGAACTGGGGGGTATAGCTATAGCTATAGCCTAGACCGTTCTTACTTTCATGTACAGTTGAACATCGATTATCCGCACATCGACTATCCGACCATTCGATTATCCGTAACAGTTTTTTTGGGCGCACGTGCCGTAGAGTACGCACTGTGCATGTAGTGAGCCATTCAAAAAATACGAAAATTTTGAAAAGTAAAAAGTAAAAAGGTCGTGCGGCTAGTAATAACCACTGAAAGTGTGTGAGTGATAGTTTTTTCTTATCCGGAACATTTGCCTTATCTGAACACCGCCTGACAGTTGTCTGCCCAGAGGTGGTCGGATAATCGATGTTCAACTGTACTACAGTCCATACACAGTAGAGTCACCATGTATACATTAGTATGCTGTGCTTGGTGAATTTCTAGCCTGGTCATTCTTCGGTGCTCAACAGTACTGTACAGGGAAACATTGCTGAGAGCTGCTTACCGCTGTCTAGAAGGTAGACGGCCATACTCCAGGAAGATCCGCAGAGATAGCTGGTGTTCCCATGGCATGGCTGGCACTCCGCCGCCAGTGCTTGCGGACTGACGGCCACACCACACCAGCACTGGTAAGCCATGCGTATGCCAGCCATCCGATAGCCGTCCTCCCAGCACGCGTGGGCGCACATCGTAGGCTGCTGTTTGGACGGCGTACGGGACATGACGTCGGTGATGCCGGATAGATGTACAGACAACACCTGGGATCTGTCTCCTTCCACTGATGCCAAGCGATCATGATAACATTCCACATAGTTGAACGTCCTCCTCAGTATGTCTGTAAGCACACAGTTTACAATAAGTACTCGTCAGGACTGCCGGAAAGCAGTTTAGATTGGTCCCGCCACACCATAGCCTTTTCATACTTTGGGTTCTGTAAAACCGGAAAGTCTTATGAGTCACAAAGTCTAACGTTTTATTAACGACCAATTTTTCGTTACTTGAAGAAACGTTATCGCGAGATATCTGTGTAAAGATGCGCATACAGATGGGTGGCCAGGTAGCCATCATTAAACTTTCTGCACGTTATCATGCCAAAATTACTAAAACGTTAAACTTTTTGGTCGTTAAACTTTCCGGTTTTACAGTATGACATGGCCTCCTCAGCAGTATACATGAGTCGGTGGCCAACAAGTTGGTCCGGTGATGACCTGACAAACAAGACTGGTTCCCGAAGTGGGCATGTTCCTACACTTCAATTGCTTCCAGTGGAATTCAGTTTTACTTGGAATCCGATTGTACGAGTGAGTTCAGTGGTCCCAGACATGCGGACCGTGACTGAGCTGTGCACGGGTACAGGGCACTAGCTGATTAACAGCACAACTGGTGATCCTTGTGTAGTACACATGTACCTTGCTTTCTAGTTGCTGTGCACCATGCAGGAAAAGGATTTCATCCAAAGACATTGTGCAGTGCTGAAAACAGAGACCCTAACCCTATCGGTTTCAGTGTCTAGTAGCTACTCGTATGTAGTAGTAAGCCGTATAGAATTCCAAAGAAAAGGAGATCAAAATAGCTTATGGGCAGTATTCTGTACCAGCAGACGGAATTCTACTCAGTGACGAGTCTACATCCTTGGCTTCATCACGTTGCTATATATGGCAAATGCCCGTCCCCAAGCTCATTGACAAGTAATTAGTTGCCAACATAGCAGATCTACAATGTACGATTTCTACTCTTGAGCTCAGTTGGGAGTTTGGTCTATTGTGGCCACAAGCAGCTGTCAATAACCTCACCTGTGACCATCATACTAATCATAATGAGTTTTAGTCTTGCTGTTCCCACATGTAGGCCATAGGCAAAGGCTAAAACGCATGCCAAGGGACTACGCGTACGACAGTAACACAATGATGAATGAGGACTGCACATGGGTATAAACATGTCACACTCCAGTCTTCCCTACATACCGTGTCCGTCTTCATCCCAACCTGAGTGGAACTGAAGTAATAATGCCAAGGCTATACTATAGGGAGGCCGGCAAACCCGCGCAAGCGTAAACCATCAAGCACTGTAGTCTGTACATGGTAAACTGAATGATTCATTATTGAATCCTTACCCATTCCATACGTTTCACCCAGGACTTCTGGCGAATACGGTGATGAACCTGACACAACGCCATCCGGATCCCTAGTCGGCGAGTTGCTGACAACAGGAAGCGTTGTCGTGTTTCCTCCTCCAACGCTGCTGCTGCTGCTGCTGCTGTCGGGCGGGGTCGTAGCGGTGGAGATGCTTGTACTGCTTGATTGCAGAGCTTGAAAGCTGAGCAGTGAGCTGTACAGAGCCAGGAGGGCACCCTTTGCCAAGCCAACACTACCAAACATGTCTGTACGAGCTTACGAAGCGATGCGTTCTCAGAAAAACGCTACACAAACAACGGCCATTTGCACACTCCTCCACTTTCTTGGCAACTACTAGTACTACAGTATGCGACATGAAAACAACACTGAACGCTCGTCTAGATCCAAGGAATACTTGTGTGTGAGTTTGTCTACACCTTCGCGCCACACACCACGGTGTGGAAATAGGTGTCGACGGCTTCCATTGATGCTAGTGGTGAACTGTACACCCTTGCAGAGCCTGGCGCACTCCCCTGCTGAATATGCAGGTGTTGTCGCCGCAGCGATGAGCATTGCGGTGACGGAGAGCCACATTACTATATACGCAATGTTCTAGCAGCCTTAGCTCTGGTGCGAACAATGTGCCCAGCACGCACTTTCTGTGACACTTGGCGATTGCCATATCGGCAGTGCTCCAAGGAAAAGATGCGCCCGCTAAGCTACCTACTAGTATCTCGTCCGCCCATGTGCACTGCATGCATGCAGCTCGCGCAGGTGAGAGGGGACCACAGACGCGGTTGTCACCGTTTACATGTACTATCTCTTTATCTTGCTTTCTGGCTACGAAGATGCAACGCTCCGCGAGTAAATACAAAAACCACCACACTTGGTGAAGACTTGGGTCATCAGGGCTCGCTAAGTCCTTCTTGTCCTCTCTCAGATAAGGGAGGTGATACGAGCGTCTGTGAGGTCACTCACGACATTCAGTGTCCTAACGCAACTAAAATGGACCTGACTTGTACTCTTGAGTCTTGTAGACTCTACGCTGACTACAGTCTACAGTACAGTAGCATGCAGGTCAGTAGCATGCATGCAAGTGTGGATGACGAAAGGGACAAAGTTCAGCATGCATGAAGCAGCCTGCAACAGATAGAATTGTCTCATTTCTCGCTGGTACGAGTGCTGCAATCCACGCCGATGGCGTGTAGATCTACACAGTTCGTCTACAAGATCGTACAACCAAGCCGAACACATGCTGGTAGGTCCCAGGGCCAGGTGCTGATGGCTACTCCCTTGTCGAGGAGGCCGTTGGATAGTTCCAATAGTGGTGATGCATCAGTGTGTGACTATAAATAACTTCGAAGCATACCAGGAGAACATAATAATAATACCGGTAATCTGAAGTATTACTGTGTGGATTCACCAAAAGCGCGAGTTTCGAAGTGTGAAGAAAATGTTGAACGGTCGCTGCTGGGACCATTACTACACCATAGCTGGTAGGCATTAGTATTGATATACTTGACATGTCCACGGCAAGCCGCTTATGAAGTTATGTACAACGGCATGGCCAGAGAGGATAACAAAAATAAAAATAATTATATTGTTTGGGAAATCCACGCTATTATTCAACAATAACGGGTGTGGGGTTATAACAAATTCCCATGATGTGAAAGTACATTGTACAATTATTGTTGAAGCACTAGGTGATCTGCACTCTACAATGTGACCTGTGCGATAAAATCGTTAATACAAATGATTGCCTGTTTCAAGCTACCAATCGCAGTGTCTCCAGGTCCTTCAGACTCCGGAGACGCATGGACGTTGCCTTGGCTAATTCGTTGTCTATCACCACTGGTAGGGTGATGCGCGGGCGTCCGAGCCAGCCCCGAATCTGTAGCTGGAAATGCGCTGTCATGCTCACCTGCGCTGGAGTTGCTTATCAGGGAGGCGTAGAATATGGCCAAACAGTTTCCACCGTGAGCATTGTGGATATATGGGGTGTTACAGCGAGTCTGTAGCCCAATACCAGCGGCTTTGTCGTAGGTGCTGATGCACCTTGCCCTTGAACGACTGGAGGGACCTCAGGCGTGGCGGAGACTGCAGCACAGTTGGGGGCAAGTTGTTCCACTCCGGTCAATGATGCTGTAGGGGAAGCAGCGTCGCACGTAATCAGGAGAGGAAGCCGGGAGGACGTTCTGTAGCTGAGACTCGTGGCGCACCAAGTGGTCGGACCGAGTTCGAGGACATGTTCGTGGAGGAAGCTGTGGGGGGACCAGCGACGTTAGTTGCGGTGGCCCTGGCCTGCCAGACACATCAGTTTATACATGTAGCTGAGGGCGGCGACCAATCTCCTTGCTGCCAAACTCTGGAGGAGGACATCAGGGCCAAGAATGTGGAGGGCGCGTCTCTGCACTCGATCGAGAAGGCGCAGATGGCCTGAAGTTGCTCCCATCCATACCAGTGGCGCATACTCTAGGACTGGCCTCACAAAACCTCTGTAGACGGTTCGTTTACCAGCACCATCGAGTACGCGAGCAGCTTTGCGCAGGAAGCCCAGGCGAGAATTCGCCTAGAGTGCTGTGTTGTGGAGGTGGGTCTTGAAGGAGAGGCCCGAGTCAAATGTGATGCCGAGGAGTTTTACCTCCGATAGCTCAGACACAGTGTGATCTCCAAACGTGAGGTCCATGATAGGCCACCTGTGCCGCTGATGGGCTATCGTCATGAGCTGTGACTCTGTGGGCTCAAACCTGATCCGCCACTTCTTGCCCCAGTCATGGAGCGCATCCAGGGTGGCTTGTAAGCTTTTCTTACTGTTTGGGAGCAGTTCCGGCGATCCAATACAGGTGTAGACCGTTGTATCATCGGCGAAGGTGGTCAGTGAACATCCAGGAGCTAGGCACTGCTCCGCATCGTTTACATAGATGAGGAACAGAGTGGGCCCCAGTATGCTCCCCTGGGGTACTCCCGACTCTATAGGGTAGGGCGACGAACTCTGGCCATTCACAACAGCCTGTAGCTTCCTGAGGGACAAATAATCTGTCAGCCAGGTCAGGCAGGGCTCTGCCACGAACTCCGAGTGTCTGCAGCTTGTAGGTGACTCTGATGTGTGACACCTTGTCGAAGGCGCCTGCGATATCTACCGCAAGAACCATCGAGCATCCTCCACTTCCAGTGGTGAGAGTCCACTCATGATTCAAGACAGTGAGGAGGTCGGCTGTTCCTAGGCCTCGTCTGAAGCCAAATTGGCGTGCAGAGAGGAGGTGGTGGCGCTCAAGGTAGTTTACTAGCTGGTGATTAATGATTCCTTCCATGACCTTGGAGCAGATGGACAAGAGGGATACCGGGCGACAGTTTGCTGGCAGGGAGCGAGAGGCCTTCTTGTACACTGGTACATGTACCACATTCGCTGTTTTCCAGGCCGCTGGCTGGACACCGGACCGAAAACCGAGCGAGAAGAGAGTTGACAGGGGACGTGCTAATTCATGCCAGCATTCCTTAAGGACACGAGCTGGAATTTGGTCGGGGCCCGTAGCCTTCCCTGGGTCGAGTCTGGACAAGTGTTTACGGACAATGGGAACCCTGAATTATGAAGTATTTACTAGCTAGCATGCATTATGCAGTTTGTTCATGTACCAGCACATGACTGGAACGAAACAGGCACAGTGGGTTGGCCAGAAACCATGAGAGATACGAGAGGTATCTGGCTCAAGTCCTGCTTGGGAGCGGTTTTCCAGTCGTGCTGCTACCCACAGTCAAATAGGAATTAACTTGTGGCCAGGCACAAGGGGGTACACGGATGCGGCTAATGCAGTAATGGGGTTTCTCGGCATTTGTGCCAGTGGTTGCGAGACTTATCCCCTCACCCCCCCCCCCCCCCACCGTTAGGCGCTGCATCTGCCGCTAGGGTGTACGGGTGTTAGCGGACGCCGTGAGTTCCCTTCGGGAACGGACAATATAATTTACTTGAGCAAGTTTATGCACAGGTACTATTATAGGGTGTGTGTGTGTGTGTGTGTGTGTTTTTACTTGAAAAGCACATAACCACCAGGAAAGCTGACAAAGAAAAAAGAGTACTACTATTGAAAATACTAACTTGCCTCTGTATATTGGTTCATCGAATTCTCTTGGGTTGTGTTCCTGAACATATAAAGCCTTATAACTGGTTTGTTTCGGGCCGCTCAACCAGAAACAAAGTGTCTCTTCCCAAGGCCAAGTCAACGCAATTCACAAGATCGCCATTCTTCCAGGGCTACTGTGCATGGCTACAACTTCCCGAATCAGTGAAGACTTCTGCATCATTGAAAGAATTTAAAGTTTATCTGAGGGCCTGCTGATGACTGAGTGCACCATAATAATAATACTTGCAAGTAAAAACTAATCAATATAGCTTTTCGGCTGTTTCCTTTTCATGTATATAATCTTCTCCTTCTTTTACCATGGTTGGCTATCACCCACATCTTCCCGTTTTGGCTGCCATCGGAAGCCATAAGATGTTGAATGAATAAATAAATAAAAATGTGTGTGTGTGTGTTTGTTTGTGTGTGTGTTTGTGGTGTGTGTGTGTGTGTGTGTGTGTGTGTGTGTGTGTGTGTGTGTGTGTGTGTGTGTGTGTGTGTGTGTGTGTGTGTGTCGCTGAGGGACACGAGAGTTCAAAGCCAGAATCAGAAACTGCACACACCACAGTCATACCGGTATCCGGTGTAACAGATCTACAGATCTACACCTACCCAGGTACTTGGTATTCAAGCAAAAGACGTTCTGTCTACGAGCAAGCTAGCCTAGATAAGGGATGATGGTGTCCACAGGGTTGGTGCTAGGGGTGCAGCAGAGGTGGTGTGAGTATCCAGCATGTAGAGTTGGGAGTGTGAGGTGTAGAATATTACGCATTAAAAAGGGCCGCTAATTTTCGTAGTTAGACTGTTAGAGCACTCTGGCGCTAGAGCGACGAGCTCCCTCCTTTGCACCATGGCTGGTAGCTCGTAGCTGTACTGATGAGGCCTTTAAGGCTTTGTGACCGAAACAGCTTGCTGTCTACAGCATTGATCTGTTGCAACGCGAACTGAAGGGAGCCAGCCTCTATCAATACAGTGATGTCATTAGGGAGTTGTATCGCCCCGGGCAGGTCGATCCCTGAATGTAATAGTACCGGACACGATCTTCAACGACTTGTCAAGAGTAATGAACAAGTAAAGTTCTTCGCCGTCCAACACCTGACCAGTGTTCACTGTCTCAGGCAGAACCGCATCCTCGCAACAAGGACAGACCTGCGCCGGGAATTGTTTCGTTGCAATTTCGAGTTTCACGTTCTCACACGCATCAGACAACTGGTGGATGGAAACTTGTTTCCCACTACAATGTCATGTACGAAATAGTGGTAGCGACTTCGGCGATGATTGTTAGGAAAGTGTTTGCTCCCCACACTGGAGCTCTCGCTTTTCCGCCGTCTTGACTTGACACTTGACTGACTCACGACTGCCATCCAGAGCACACGAGAATTCCATCGAACCTTCGGCTCGGCACTCCTGCAAGAAAGCACCACTCCCTGCTCAATACACAGTGTTTAGGGGAATTCACCTCCTATCGGTTGAGCTTGAGTAGGCTGAGGAAGATTGCGCCTGAACTGAAAGGGAAGAGCGCCACTTATAATGATAGTACTCTCCAGGTCCAAACAACACAAGGGATACAAACTTACAAGCTTACAGAGACGCTCTGTTTCCAGTGCGATAAACACCTCGTGAACACCAGATAGCATAGTGCAATATTGGGGTATGAAGACCGCAGGCACAGAAGAGGTTACTGTGGTCCTGTACCCACTGCTTCAGGAAAGTCACAGAGAGCTGCACAAGCGGCCACTGCGAGACGAGGCCCCAACTACACGTTCACACCAGCACATCGTCATGCTTTTAAGTTTTAGGCTAATCTCTCAACCACATGCCCGTCGGAAATACAAACTCATCGAGGCCACCGACGTCGTTGTAGTTAATACCAACCTCTCCGACCAAGAGGAAGTGCCATTAACACCACATCAACTGCAGTAATGACCGCTGCACACGTGCAGTACACGTACATGTATGTGACATACTCTGATCGTTAGCTAGCCATTACTTAGTCACTGTCAGTGTGGTGATGTCAGTGCGATGATGTCGTAAAGATGTGTCATCAGGTGTGTCCACTACAAACATGTACAATGTACAATGTACATGTAGATGAAGATGAAGATATCATTGAGCACTGAAGTAACTGTTAGTAACTATTACTTGTTCATATTCAGACCGTCGTGTCTTTGATCAGGTGACTGGATAATTCCCGTTCGTTTGTTCTTTGCTTCAGAGAAAGACGGAGAGGGCAAAGGGCTCGCATACCAGTACCTCTACGGCCCTAGCCAGCCCAACACTCAGCTCTGCTATCTTGAGCCATAGCAAGTTACAATGTAATTACTAACGTTGTTGTTGTTGTGGCCACGACTGCACTATACTGCGTCGTGGAAGACCACCCATCCTGGTCTGATGCGCTGGGTAGCATCTCTCCCTACATCTGTAGCTTAGTATATTCAATGTACATGTATATGTGCAGTACCACAGTACAAATCATGTACAACATACATGTAGCTTGTTGGCATGTACCGATAACCATGCTTTCCCTGAACCTGTGCTGACTCTCCCGAAGCACAGCAAACGAAGATCCAGGACTCCTAGACTACATTTTTTTCACTCCTGGACTACTGAACTGAAACTCCTCCCCTGGAAGAGGGGACTACTGAACTGAAACTTCTCCCCTGGAAGAGGGGACTACTGAACTGAAACTCCTCCTCTGGGAGAGGGCACAATAATGGTGTCATCGTCAGTCTTGAAATGAGCTGTTGACAGGTGCGAGGTGCACGCTAACATTACAGTCATATCCGCGGCCAATTCACCATCCCCTTTCCACGATATGCAGTACATGACCATTGCGAAGGAAGGGGGGGGGGGGAAAGGGGGCTAGTAGCCTCACAATGTCCAAAGGTTATTATTGGCTATGCGGCATTAGCTGAGTGGGACGGTGTTTCTCTTGCAGGGCGTGCATCAGAGAGGCGTTCATTGTCAATACAAGTGCATACACTATGAGTATGAGCGACTTCCTCATCCAGATGCAAACAACGACTCAGTGCACGGGAGTTGGCAGCCGAAAACTATTACTTGGGCCAAGTGCTGAAAACACATTCGCGCAGCCGGCGTCGGCGGTCGCTACACCCGCCGTGCTGATTCAGAGACCTTCACAAGATACGAAGTACTGTAGATCTACTGACCAAGGAGTCGTGTAAACGGGCTTATACTAATTATAGTTCTTTATACTTCAGAGTAACTTTATACGACTCCCCGGTACTGGCGGTAGATCTACCATGATCTGCTGACTGACCTGCGTTCTTACCATCTTATTCTTAGGCTGGCATGGGCATGGGGGAGCTTGCTGGCCCTCGTGCCTCACCATGGCATGGGCATGGCATGGCCTTGCGGGCATTCCTCTGGGCCGCCCCAGAACATCCAATCGTCATGGTACATCGTTATCCCAGACCACTGAGCTGACGAGGGCTAGGTTCGGGCCGCAGGTTTCAGTATTCCTTCTTCTCCGTCCTAGAGTAGAGGCTCGGCAGTATTACGCTTGCTCAGTGGCGGGCACTGGCATGCAGTGCTTATCTGCAAAGAGCATGCAGCTGACGTCGTGTGCAATCGGTGTGCTGTGCTGTTTTTGATTGTCGGTCAAACCAGCTGCAGCCTAGTGAACTGCGTGCTGCTGGAGAATTTCACTGCCGATCACCATGCACTGGCCGTACAAACATCCAACAACGGCCTGACAAGCCCTGAGACAGCGAGGGCGAAGTCCAGAGATTCACTGGCTGAGAGAAATGTCGATAATCATGGCATGTCGGTCAATACGCCAGATAAGAACCTGCTGCAAGTCGAAAACCGTATCAGCTTGCCGTCGTCACTTGCAAGAACGTTGGCCAGATTAACCTGAGCTGACGAAAACTGTCTTTCTAGGATCGCCTCGTGGGCCACCACCAAGCTAAAGCTGATCGAGTTAGCGACAGGGAGACTCTACCTGAAACTAATGGAGGCCTGATACCGAGCATTGTTGAAGGGATCGTCCTGGACAACCCACCTGCTGGCTCTTGAGCGAAGCCGAGCATTCTGCCCTTCTGATCTGCGCAGGAACTGTGCTACCGGTACCTGTCGTTTCATCCCGCGACCCAAAGCTGTGGTCTAGATCCTGCAGCTGCTCGTGCTGATGTCGCTACGATCTGCCTCCGCTCGCCCTGGACTGCCGACGCCGTGAAGCTGAGGATTGAGGTGAAAAGTCCGAGAGAGAGAGAGAAAGTGTGTGCACGCCAAGGCTTCGTCTTCTGGACGGTGATTTGCTGGACATTAGTGATACCATCATCTACCATGGTGGTGATGGGATCATGGCGGACGAATCGGAAAGGTGCTTCTCCGTTTCTTGCCGCACTCCTTCTCTTGTGTCTTATGCCAGCTATCGCTTCCGGCCAGATTCGACAGCGAACAGGTGAGAATGTGCCACATCGATCATTGTGCTGAACTATTACTTGGGCCGCACAGTCATGACAGTCATCACAGTCATGATCCCTGCGGATACAAGCACGAAATTATGACTTTTATGAGCCCCCGGAGCGTTCCGTTCATGTATTGATTTGTGTGTACTTCAAGTATGTGATCATACAAGCTGCAAAGTAGTTAGTTGAATGCTATGCGCGCCCTGTGCATTCATCCAGCTCCAGGCTCCCCTGTGAGTTTGAGTGTGACTATTTTTACCTGGATCTTCATGCAGCAATGGCCCTCTACTAGCTGGAAGATGTTCTTAGAAGAAGGCCATCATTGCAATGGTGTTCTACGAATACGGTGTAACGGTGAAAGGTTGAAATGGTTGCAATGCACGTAAATGCCAAAACTGAGCCTAAGGCAATGTCAGGCACACCAGACCTTTCATGCAGAGTATGAATGTATAATGAAGCCTGTCAGGGTATGTGTACTTGTATTTTTGTGACGAAGAAAAGATACCAGGAAGTACATTCACATGTAGTGCTTCAAGTACAACTGTACTTACAAGGACATGCATGATTGTGCACTAGTCCATACAGGAGTGGATCCAGAGGGCTCTACAGGGGGTTCAGTCTAGCCAAAACTGAATAGCTGATACATGTACATGTACATGGTTTCCAGCAGCACATTTGCGAAATTTAGGGGATACCGTGGAACCCCCTGGATCCGCTCCTGCTATACACTGAGTATGCCTGACATTCTTGCAGTGGATTGCCCTACACTTCAGGCTGCTATTCTGTATACATACTTGAATTGTAAAACAGTATTCCGATGATTGTCCTGCCCCGCAGTGCCCGACACCAAGCCGGCACACCTAGGCACGCAAGGCAACCAGGAGGCGGAGGTGGACACCAGGACTGACGTTGTCTACGTGGACTGCTTCACGGAACCAGCACACTCGACACTGCACGTACTCGATGTACAGCTGCGCGATGTCACACGGGCCATGTTCCGTAGTCCGGCCGAGCAGAAGCCACCGACGTGCGCACGCGCGTGCTGGATTGCTGGCTATCCGTACGTCGGTGTGAAGGGCTACTACCAGTGTTGGTGTGGCAAGGAGGTCAAGCTACGCCTGTTTCCCAGAGGACGGTACGAACAGGCACAGTCCTGAATAGTTACGCCAAGTACACGTAGAGCGCTGCTCATTGAAATCCAGTCGCGTCACTCAAGTTTGTGCCTTGCACCATTTCGCAGCCCAATGTTCGCAGGTCTAGGGCTGCGCAACGCCCGGTGCGTACTTGAGTGACACGACTGGATTTCATTGAGCAGGACTGTATTTACCTCACCCTTTCCATCCAATGTTTTGCAACATTGCTTTTACAACTATGCTTTCTTTGAGTAAAACGTGATGTAGCACACATGATATCTGCTTGGTACGTATTATGCAGTGTACCATGTAGACCAGACCAGCTCTACAGTGCATTTCAAAACTATAGACGCGTAGGGTTTTTGAAATATTTCAAATTTGGCTGGAACTTTTCGAGAATAGTTTTCGGAATATTGCTCAGGATCGCTCCACAATTACTCTCATATAGTTTCTAAAGGATTGGATAACAGACGCCCAATTTGGAAAAATTTATGCACAAAGTGATCACAGATTTTATGTGGTATAGATGCTGGCATAACGGTTTTTGCCTAGGTACGCGTCTATAGTTTTGAAATGGACTGTAGTGAAGTGATCTACAGTGCAATACTGTGCAGTGATTCTACACACATTGGCACCATTGTGATGCGTCCTGATGTTCACTGTATACGCGCGTGTGTGTGTGTGTGTGTGTGTGTGTGTGTGTGTGTACGTGTGTGTGTGTACGTGTGTACGTGTGTACATGTGTGTGCACGTGTGTGTGTGTGTGTGTGCATGCGTGTGTGTGTATGTGTGTGTCTCTCTCTCTGTCTCTCTCTGTCTCTCTGTCTCTCTCTCTCTCTCTCTCTCTCTCTCTCTCTCTGTCTATCTATTTATCTATCTATCTATCTATCTATCTGTAGATGTATGGCATGCCTGGGCAGCTTCCAGTACCGCTGTGGCATGACGGACTCCATCGCCATCTACAAGGTCAATCAAGGTGAGCTAGCACGGCTTTCCAGTAATCACTGGCTAGCGGTGCACATTCCTGCATCAATACCATGCATTTCACAGAGTATACTGACATTACACGGAACCCACCAAGACATGAACACACATAAGATGGAAGTTTGGAAAGGAGGGCACTACACATTAGGAAGCATCGGGCAAGACTAGTTTGTGACGGGGCGCTTGCAAATTGTAATGCAATACGGTAGCCTATACACTGCCATCCTTCTCAGAAGCTCACCTATCTGTGCATACTCTGTGCGTGCTCAGTACCACCACAGGCATCAGTGTGCCAGGGAGATCGCACAGCGGTTGCCGGAGCAACTGTTACGCTGCAGTGCCTGGCCAGTGGTGACGAGCCGATACAGTTCATGTGGAAACTGCCCAGGTTCAACCCCAGGGCATTCGTCAATGGCGGATCACTGACCATACGGAATGTGCAGCCGTCAGACAACGGCGAATACCTGTGCACTGCTAAGAACCCCTACATTGGCATGCCTGCACTAAGAACTAGCAATGCCACAGCTAGGCTCACAGTGCAAAGTAAGGAAGCGAACACAACATGGTACATGCTGTCTTTGATGTTTTTCTTGCCTCAGTGGGACCATAATTGACTGGGAAACAGTGTCTATAGCAGCCCCACATTCTGTATATTCGAGTTTATTTTTTGTCACAAGTTTAATAGTGTCGAACACAACCCTACAAATGAATTATGAAGGGACATGAGCAGGGGAGAGCAGACACAACTAATCTTCCCCTGGTGTCTTGTGTGAAGAAGTTCAGTTCCGCAAGGATATTCTCTAGATTGTTGGTTTTGGAGTGAATCTTTTTAGACATGTTCCAATTCGACCTTTGCTCATGTCTGCCTGCATACAGCACCACCAACAGCCCAGGTGAAGGTGCTGCAGCTGTTTTCTTTGGGACATGCAGGCACACTGCTATGTGAGGCGAGTGGCGATCGGCCACTGCAGCTCGGCTGGCTGATCGGAAACACAACGGTTAGCCTGGCCACCCTGAACACGGCAAATCTGGCGGTGACGTATGATCACAACGCTGGCAGATCAACACTGACTGTCAAGAACGTGACGAAGGACAGCGAAGGTTTCTACTACTGCGAGGCAACCAACAATCACATCATCGACCTTTCCAAGCGTAGCTTCAAGGCGCCGTTCTACTTCAGCTCTGAGCATGGTATGTCAGGAGCATAGCTGGTCCCCCTTTGGGGGGGGGGGGGTGCACGGTCGCTTCACCACAATACTCTTGCGCAATATGTTGTATTTGAAGTTCGAATATTATACGTATAGGATGGCTGGTGCATGTCATTCATGGTCATTATGTGCGTGCTGAACCTAGGTTGAAATTTCTAGGGGGGGGGGGGGGGGGGGGGAGGTGCATGTGTCCCCCTGTGCCCCATGCGCGCTACACACCTGTATCTTTTTATGGTTCTTTCTACAGAGGACATGCACCTTTTCTCAGTCGTGTAAATCATCAGTCTACACCGTTAAAAAACCCGTGTTTGTTATAAATTGATGCGCCTGCTTTCCGCTGCAAAGATAAACTGTGGTAAAGGTCTCCGTCCTCCTCTCCCCCCCCTCTCTCTCTTCCCCCCCCCCCCCCCTCTCTCTCTCCAGCCGTCTGTCTGTCTCTCTCTCTCTCTGCCTTGCCTATAGGAGCTGTAACAAGTTTCCATCAATCCACCTCTGCTCAGACAGCAACACTCACGACCAAGAGGCATGCTTTTACCACCGTAGCAAAGACAGAGGTCCACGCACCAACCGTGTCTCAGGTACCCGACAGGACGAAGGACAGCACCGACTACAATGTACCACCGATGAAGAGCGGCTTCTTTGGCCTGGGTGTTGACACGATGACGGTGGTAGCAATCCTGTGTGGAGTGTGTGCCGTGCTACTACTGCTGCTAACCATGGTTGTGTGTTACTGGCAGCGCCGCAAGGTAGCCGAGCTGGACGAGAAGAGGCACACAGCTAGTGAGTACATTTGTTTATTTTTTTATTTTATATTTTATTTTATTTCACCGTCCAATGGCAGAAGCCAATGCAAAGGAGGGGGCGTTAGCCAGCCATGGCAAGAGAAGAAAAGAAAGAAAGAAGGAAAGAAGATAATAATCGGAAGAAAAGAACGCATCAGCGGGGTGAAATTTATCACTATGTTTCCAATGTATTGATGGCATTACTCGGTATAATGACTTTTATGAAGAAATGGTATTGTATCTGATGTGATCGTGATAAGAGAGCAGATATATTTGCTTTTTTAGTTTAAAAAACCTGATTGCGGTGCCTACAGTAGACGGCTATACACATTATTGTGTTCGCCATCTAGTCTGTGAGTGCAGATGGATATCGTAAATGTACGTGGCTGTTCGCCGAGTGCCTGGTTTGCCTATGCACGACTGTGTGTTCCGGTGTAGGGCTGAGTACAGGGCATGTCCTGGGCTCCACTGGATCATACCTCTACCCCAGTGTGAGTGACAGCGATAGCACAGGGATGCGAACCGTCAACGGCGACTGTACAATGGAGTCCTCACTGGCACACCATCAGTCCACCGAATCAGCAGATGACAAGGTACGTTTTGGCCAAGCTGCGCATGCCTGAAAATGCTGCCGGTCCCTATTGGAAATAGATAAAGACCTTGAGTACTTAGAAGTACATGTTCATCAGGGAGTCAAGGCGTGTACAGGTCACATGTAGGGAAACGACACAGGAGGGCAGTGTGTAAACTGATGTATGTCTTGTTCCTGGCTGCCCCTGTCCAATCACCCAGTCACCCTTTCAGACAGGCCCAGTTTTATGCATGTATTGCAAGTATGCCATTGCTGGTCCGAGGCACCGCGCTGGGGTGTCAAGGGGCCATGCATGGTCTGATTTCAGTCAAGTGACACACAGATCATGGATCTCATAGCAGTTCTGAATCTGGGGTCAAGCCATACATCACCAGTACAGTCCCACTCTGGGCACATCATAGTTCCCCAACGGACAACAGCAATCCAGAAAGCAGACGGATTGAATCATTGCGCTGGTGGTGTTCTATGCTCTGCCCGTGCTGTGCCTGTCAATAGGATGCTGACGGTGATGAGTATGATCTTCAGCCGCGTGGGGCATCGCTACACGACATGTACGTGCTGGACGAGGAGGGAGAGTTTCAAGCACCACGCCACCTGGACCCGCTGTCCACGTCCTACTTTGAACGCGGGGGACTGGCGTCAAGTGCTGGCACGTCATTCTTCACTAACCCAAGCGTGTCGGATTTATAACACACACTCTAAGCATGCTTAGTGTATTCCCCGTACATCCACATGGACTTCTTCCTGCTTTGAAACTTGAGAGACTTGAGTTATAGATATTGTTGTGAGCGGCATTGATTGATAGCCGTGCACACCTTTATAAGCTAAGACATGGTACACAGCATACATTATATTTCCTGGAAGAGAGATTCGTCAATTCTCCTCACACACGTGGGCCATGCCGCATGCAGCACTCGCTGGTACTGTGAGCATGAGCCACTACTGGCACACTACAATATCAATCATTATAATTATTTTATTAATGCGATTAATAGTATAAGTGAAGCGGACATTACAAAATGATGAATGAGAATACATGTATCTAAAATGGTTGTTCCTAATCGATTTTCTTGAGACTATCATCAGGGAAAATCGTCTCACAATAGAGGCTATACGGAGAAACAAACTACTTATAGGTTAATGGATAGTGGGAAGTATACAAGGTGAGGTGTGAAAAAAACTAAAGTGGGAGAGAAGACGAAAGAAATTAGAAGAAAAGATGTGAGAGTGTTCTGACGGTGTGAGCTACTACAAAAGGTGAGTGAAATGAAGGCGTGGAAGCAGGTGAATGTGATAGAGTGAGGAACTGTGAGGTGTAGGTGTATGCGAATGAATACGTGTGTGAATGCTAGGTGAAGAGTCTCAGTTTTGTGACATTTTCTTTCTGAATGCATAGATTAGGATTGTGTTTACGGATGAAAACAGCTTCTAATACCTTAAGTTCACGAAACCTACGAGCACGACACAAAACAGTGAAGCATGAATCATCATACACTGAGCGGCATTGGCTACTAGACAAGAGGTGTTTCTTTAAAATGGCTGACCCTTTCGTTATGGTCTCACCTTCAGTCGCGTTATGGTCTCACCTTCAGTCCGGTCATCTTCTTCGTTCACGCATTTCCGTAATCTGGAACAATCGAATGAGTTTCTTGGTATGCTCAACAACCTACATCCCGCTCTGAAATTTACATGTGAACATGAGCAGTCAAACCGTTTGTCTTTTCTCGATGTGTTAGTCGAGAAAACGGAGATGGGTGTTTCAACTTCAGTATATCGAAAACCAACGTTCACCGGGCAATACATTGTCTACGACTCCTATTGCTCGACTTTATACAAAACTAATCTCGTACGAAATTTGATCATGCGCGCTAGGCGGATTTGCTCGCCTGATAAGCTTCAGCAAGAGCTTTGTTTCCTGAAGAAGGTATTCGTTCAGAATGGATATCCTGTTCAGCTCCTCAGTAAGCTGTTTAACGAACCTGATATTCAGGCTGCCGAGCCTGAGTTTGGACCTGACCCATGTCGTGTGTTTTTACGACTTCCATGGAAAGGTCAAATTTCGCTGGATGTGGCCCGCGCCGTGAGGACTGTTGTCAGACAAACCTATTTTGCCACAGCATTGACAACAGTCTTTACTACGGCCCGTGCGTTCACGGTGAAGAAGGATGTTCTTCCTACCCAACTGATTAGCCATGTGATCTATCATTTTGAATGTCGGCATTGTGATAGCCGATATGTAGGAAGAACCCTTCAGCACCTGAACGCACGCGTCAAACAACATGTACCATTGTACCTATTGTCAGATGGAGCCAAAGCCCAGCGACCTGGACGAGGCCGTCCCCGTAAACAGGTGCCAGTTGCACAATTACAACAGAACCACACAGTACCGGTTGAACGGACTACAAGTACACAGGTACGTGAGACTGAAGGAAATGGCCAAACACAGGTACGGAGACCAATAACTAGGAGCATGACTCGTACGCGGGTAATAGCATCCACAACCGGACATGGACTGGCGGCGAGCAGTAGCGTGGGATTGTCGTTGGGTGCAGAGGACGGGATGGAAGCGGAGGAGGATGAGGAAGGTGAGAGCAGTGATGAAGAGAGTGAGTTGGACAACCAAGATGAAGATGACCGGACTGAAGGTGAGACCATAACGAAAGGGTCAGCCATTTTAAAGAAACACCTCTTGTCTAGTAGCCAATGCCGCTCAGTGTATGATGATTCATGCTTCACTGTTTTGTGTCGTGCTCGTAGGTTTCGTGAACTTAAGGTATTAACGTTAGAAGCTGTTTTCATCCGTAAACACAATCCTAATCTATGCATTCAGAAAGAAAATGTCACAAAACTGAGACTCTTCACCTAGCATTCACACACGTATTCATTCGCATACACCTACACCTCACAGTTCCTCACTCTATCACATTCACCTGCTTCCACGCCTTCATTTCACTCACCTTTTGTAGTAGCTCACACCGTCAGAACACTCTCACATCTTTTCTTCTAATTTCTTTCGTCTTCTCTCCCACTTTAGTTTTTTTTCACACCTCACCTTGTATACTTCCCACTATCCATTAACCTATAAGTAGTTTGTTTCTCCGTATAGCCTCTATTGTGAGACGATTTTCCCTGATGATAGTCTCAAGAAAATCGATTAGGAACAACCATTTTAGATACATGTATTCTCATTCATCATTTTGTAATGTCCGCTTCACTTATACTATTAATCGCATTAATAAAGTTATTGTCTCCTCGTCGCCTTTTCATTATAATTATTATACTTTTTCTCGCTGAAATTGAAATTCACGCTTTTGTTCGTTCGCAGCTGTTCTTGACCTACACTGTACTTTGAAGTCATCATTAACTTATATACCGGTGTGTTAGTTCTTTCTAGTGGCCAACGTCAAATTTAAGCCTAGCATGTGCACTAGTGATTCACTTGTACGGAGCAAGTATCTGATCCAACAATCTCTCCTCCTCTCCTCTGTGCGCACTCAGCTGACAATCACAAGTTGCTACCCTCGGTAGCCATTACAGAGCCATAACATTTATATATAGAGCATCTGATCAATCAAACTAACCCACCCCATACCATGCACACAGCATGCCTACAATAAAGTCCTACACGAGTACAAGACTACATGTACTGCAGTCGACGCAAGCTGTTTTGGCACGCATGTATACACACACTTGTAAAGACGTGAAATAGTTCCCATTTTAATTGTTTAGACCTGCACACATCGTCATGGATATCATGGTCATGAAATACCCACACTCTTGGGATGGCTTTATGGCCGATGGCATGCTATCTTTTTTTTCTGGCTTTCCAAGCATACCATGTATACACCCACCCACACCCACACACGCACAGACAGACAGACAGACACACACTCACACACAATGTACAGGACCGTCGCAAGAGAAGTACGCAAATCTGCAAGTGTACTGGATGTACACCCACAGATTTTCTCTTACAGTACGAGATAGTAGAGTCGTGCGCCCAAGAACGTTATTTCCAAGGGGTTCGCCTGGGACGTTCCTATTTTTTCAGCAATCTGGCTGCGTTCTTATAGCACGTTATTAGAAACTGTGCGTACTGGATTAAATGTATCCCACTAGCTGCCAGAAAACCAACACCGACGTTCTAAGTATTTCAGGCTGGACGTTCTTGGGCTCCACGTTCTTCAGCGCGCGACTCTACTGTACAGCAACAGTAGCGGACAAAGTTAGATCTGAATGGAACAGATCAAGACTAGTGCCAGATAACTGTCCAATCCACAAAACTGGCAAAGACACACACACACACACACACACACACGCACGACTCCGGAGTGCAACGCACTGAGGTTGACAAATTGTTCTACAATCAGCCAAAACGAGAAGACAAGCTCCAAAGACAGTGACCGATGGTTACTACGCTGTACAGAACGGAAAGTAATAAAAATAAAGTTAGACGAGAGGTCAAGTGTATTTTTCTTCAAATTGATTATTTAGCAAACAAATCCTTGATACCAGTTACCACACTACACACTACACATATATATGTACTACACATATATATGTACTACACATATATTATGTACTACACATATATATGTACTACACATTGCAACAAGACACTGTAAAGAGAACTATATCATCTTTTGCAGAGCGCGACACTGAACGGGCGCAGTGGAGTATTATACTGATGGCTTGGAACCGATTGTTGTTAGTAAGGACTGCAGTCCAGTATGTTAAAAAAAAATAGGAAAATAGTCTGGGAAGGAGGCATGAAGCAATAAATAAATAAATAATAAATAAATAGATAGATACTAGCTAAAGACTACGAATGAAGAATGTATGTGTTGGCATTTCGTGAAAAATCTCGTGACTTTCATGACGAATTTCGGCTCCAAACCAAGCAAAGTATTCATGAGTAGTAAGGATGGAGCTGTTATGATGAAATATTGTTAAGTGGCGTGGCAACACCTTGACCGATTACAATATGTGTCCTGTGAGGAACGAATTCAGTAGAAACCATGTACAAAGGGCATAGTCTCTCGCTCATGTCACTAGTACCCAGTTGCCGCTTCCACAACAAATCCACTACTGTCATGTCGAGGGTTCGTCCACTTCAATGACCTCTGCTTTCGCCGCTGTCTCCAGCTTCTTCTCCAGACGTCGTCGATTGTCGGCAAACTTGAGACGGATGCGATCAATCTCGCGCTCCTCTTCCGCTTGGTAGGCCGTGACGAGACGCTCCAGGAAGGGCATGCCGAGGTGGTAATACTGCATCACCTCGGCGGAGAAGTCCTGTGCATCGCTTGTGTTGCGTTCCATGATGAACAGCTTACAGACGTCCTCTTTGGGACCGAGGCGAATGCGATATAGTAGCATGCACACGTCATCTTGGATGATCTTGACCGTGCCAGTGTCGTCAATGGAGAAGATGGCAAAGCGCGACGGCTCATCCACCGCATTCAGCTTGCTTAGCGTTGCACTGATAATCTACAAGCAAGATGTGTGTGTGTGTGTGTGTGTGTGTGTGTGTGTGTGTGTGTGTGTGACAAGGAGCAAACACTTAGGTTAACACAGCTCGAGTGATAATCTTTTACTTCACCTCCAATCCGCAACACACGAACAGTCCTTGGCTACGCCACGTGTAGCAATCGTTTCCAAATTTTCACCCAGGAGGGCATCATCAGAGTTATAATACTGAGAAAAAGGACACACTTCTGGCTCTTGAACAACATCAAGAGCTGGCTAGAGTGCCCGCTCCTTCCGCCCACATATTAATTCACAGACCTTCATGTAATGTCAGTGCCAACCCCTCCCCCTCCGCCCAACAGATCACTCGGGGCTGGTACCACGTTCAATGCAAAAATCCAGTGAAAAGAGTGCCGAGCTGCGTGGGCCCCGCCAGCCAACAACCTCAACGGTTTGTTGGGATTCTTTGATGTCCGATGCAGCAAGTTGAAATGTTAGGACATGTGCAATAGGTTACCAGGGCATGCGCTAAGGATTAAAATATGCTCTGACACAATGTCCTGCCAGTTGCAAAAATGGCCGGACATGTCCGGACATGCAAATTTTCACATCAAATCACACAATGTTCAGTGTAGAATTAATACTATCGAAATGTTATCACAACGATGCATTTCAGAAGCAGCATGATCTTTGAAGGCTGACGTTTTCAGGTTCCTTGAGTCAACGACGAAGGAGTCAGAAAAATCCTTGCTGCTGCGAATTTTATCAACAAAACGGGAACACATCTTACACTTCAAATTTTCGACAACGCTACGATCTGAGGGACTGCGCTCATAGCTCAGCCAAACAGAAGTTGAAAGCTCCCTATCAAGTATCATATTCGGCGACCCACTTGTCACAAGTGGTCGTCTTGACTCCTCTGGGCTTCTTTCCAAGAGGAGCACCCGCATCAGCGGTGCTTGGCTTTCTCTTGCCAGACGACATCACTAATGACTATGAGACAAAGGATTGAAGTGCCTTTTCTTTTTTGTACTTTGCAAAAAGTGCGCGGACACTTTGTCCGGATATGTACAAAACATCCGGAAACTGACCGTAAACGGTCGGAAATTGTCCGATGTCCGACCGTTATTTCGCGCCCTGGGTTACAGACGCCAATAGTGTCTCTAGAAAAGTACATGTGAATATCATACGCAACCGCTCTGTGGTGCCACCAAAAGTCCTTGCTTGTGGTAGATGCAGTAAAAACCCTGCAGACCCGATACAGTATGCGTATTCACTTCCAATGCTGTATTGAATATTCAACCAAGCAGGCCGGCATACACAAATGCGCCGCTTTATAGTGAGCCAAACAAACCAAAGTCCAGTGCCAACGCTCAGCACAAAATAGGAAGGTGGCGCGGCTGATCGATGTGTCACGTTATAATGCTTACAGTGTGAAGCAGTAGGGGAAAGTGTGAACATGTGTGTGTGTGTGTGTGTGTGTGTGTGTGTGTGTGTGTGTGTGTGTGTGTGCACTGTAGGGCGATGTGTACGCGTGCGTGTGTGAGCGAGCGAGAGGAAGAGAGAGATATGTCTATGCGGGTGACATGGAATTATATGGCACCAACCAGGGCGCCACTTAGGCGGAGGAGCAGTTTAATAGAGAGATAGTGCTGTAATTCGGACTTTGGGAGATGTGACAACAACCAGGCTGTCACTGGTGCGTAATTTGTGTCGGCGACACCAGCTCTGTGCGCTTGTTAACCCTTTATGGACAATTGCATGACTTTCGATCACGTATGATTGAAACTTCAAGTGGGGATTTCAGCCGGCGATCTTCATCGTTTTTCGATTCTTTTTCCGAAAAATCCACAGCTGAGATGCATGCGGATCAAAATTTGATCCGCATAATGAGCATAAAATCTACGTACGTCACAAGTAAAACAGTTCGCGAAAAATCCCACTGAACATTGCACACTCAACAGAGCATTCGCGCTCAATGGAACTCAAACGTTTTTCAACACTTCACTTTGGCAACTTTTATTGATCCGAATTCAGTCTGGTCTTTTTTTTAATATGAAAGCTTTGTCCATCTAAACCTATCTGCATACAATGTATATAAAACAAATCATAATCGTTCTTGAGTTATAGCAGTCAATCGAATGCCGCATTTTCCACACTAATTTAATTGGTCCATATAGGGTTAAGAGACGTTCCCTTGTCTGCATTGCTGATTATAGCTTTTTGGGTAGGCACAGATCGCACATCTTGGTGGTATTTGTGTAAGAACGCGCCCTGCATCAGATTGACAAATGAATCTTGTAGGCTTAAAAAAAAAGCTTACTGCCCTTCCGCACCAGTGGTAGTGTTAAACTGCTCCTCTGCCTCAGTGACACACTGACTGGTGCCAATATCCCCATGACACTCTCCTAGATCTCCCCCCCCCCCCCCTCTCTCTCTCTCTCTCTCTCTCTCTCTCTCTCTCTCACTCACACACACACATACGGGTGCATATAGCTCTACATTACACGCGCACATGTTCACACTTTCCCCTTGCCATTTCACACTGCAAGCATTTATAATAACCTCACACATCGATCAGACACGCCTTCCAACTTCGAAGGTTCAGCGTTGCGAGTAATATGCCATAGAAAGAAGGTATGCGCTATCGAGACGATGTGATAGCTGCTGACGATGACGAGACAGAAAGACTGGTGGACAGTAACCAGCATTCTGCACAGCTGTAGAATGGCACTTTTATTCATCTCGTTAGCACATACCTTCCTCCTGTGGACTCTTGCTCACAAATCTGAAATCTGAACCTTCCAGTTTGGAAGACTGTAGGATAGTTCTGTCAAGCTACATTCCAGGCCAGTGACATGCTATGGAATGTATCGCACTCCTCGTCAGGTTTGAGCTAGATATCTGCACACACGTATCCACGTGTCTCTTTCTTTTTTTACATTAATTGGCTCAACATCCGAGTCTCAAATGGCGCACATGCTAACTGTTCAAAATTTGGTGTAACTGGTGGACCGCAGCACGGGATTTGCACAGCTTTGTTTGAGACTTTGGCAGGGTCGGGTCACTGTGAAGCTTGCGAGTCAATGTATTTCACACCTTGTCAACCAGGGTGCGGGTGCTTTCATGCAAGCTATGCGGCTTGCACACCGGATTGAACCTAGAACCTAGGCCTCGGGCACTTAGACAGATTGAAGCCTCCATGCATGAAATTAAACACTAGTCCTTGACAGCAGAAGGTCGCCCACGGCACAGGCTCCTTATGACAGATTGTTACTGAATGTGTTCCATACCAGAGTGGATTCCTTTCCAGATTTCGAAGATAAAATGAGCAGCATGTGCCCTGAAAAAGGGCGCTTGCCAGAACATGCAGGCTGACCTAGTGGCAACTGATAATCCCCAGGAAGGGACAAGCAACACATATAACGCACAGTAAAACCTGCCCTAACCGGACAACACCCTTGGTGCAGCGGAAACTGTCCTGATACGACAGGATTCCGCTTGATCCAGGGATGCACGTTCACTCCACAGCACTTTGGTGCGTGAAATACAGGATTCCGTTTGGTACAGGGTCCGAAAAACACAGGTTTTACTGTACAACCACGACCTACAGAAGAGGAGACACACAGACAGTGCATGACACTTACATCAGAGACAGTCATGTCAGAAGTTGCCCGAATGTTGGTTACAGATCCCTTGGGCGGCTGGTAGAACTCGGCGAGCGACTCCGCACCAATACTGCTGGGTGGCGGAGAACATGCTACGCTGTCCAGCTTAGAAACTGAGTCCATGCTGTCTGTCCGGGACGGATTATTACGACGTAATCGGAATGAGATGCGGGGCCGGCTAAGGAAATTACCCAGACGGCTGCCACCACCACCACCACCACCACTGCAAGCAGCCAAGCTCTTGTCAATTCCTTCCGTAGCGGTTAATGATGGCGCAGGTACAGCAATTGCAGATGCTGGCAATGATGATGATGATGACGATTGCGCAGCTGTAGTCGTTCCTGACGTTTTGGTTGCCGCCGTTGCTGCTCCTGGTGAGGGTAGAGTATCCTTACTGCCACTATTGGTAGGTATGTCACATTCTGTCACCTCATCGGATTGTAGGCTTTGCCTCCGCTTTGGCGATATGCTGCGCTGAAAGCTCTTACGGAACGATGTGCCACGCTTCTTGACAGGCTTGGGTAAGAGTTCAAGCCCATCGGGTGGTGACACCAAGCTCGATGGCGACGATACTACGCCAGAAGCACCTGGTGCCGAGAGCGAGCTGGCTGGATCCAGCAGAGTAGCACTGTTAGACGCCTGTAATGCCCTGCCCTTGGTTAATACTGGCACTGCTGGTCCTGCTGTTGCTGCTACTGTCGCAGACCGATCTTTTTGACCTGGCGTAATGACGGGCTTCATAGACTTGGGACGCTTGAAGCTGCTCGTAAACACGCGAGACAAGTTTGATCCGTTGCGTGTACGCAGTGCCGCGGAGCTGGCTACATTGCTGTTGCTGCTGGTGGGTCTTAGTGGGCTTTCAATGCTGTTCGGCCTACCGGGACTGAACAGCCGGGAGCTGGTGTTGCCCAGCTTTGGCGACGCGTTCTCAGTGCTGCTCTTGGTGCGGATTCGAGGCGTGGCAACGCTATCCTTCTGACGCTGCTTTTTGTCAGCCGCTCCAAACGAGTTGCTTCTGAGGGGTGAACCGACGCTGCTGCTGCGCGCAAACTCGAACGGCAAATGCAAGCCGATATGGGTCCGAGTCTGTGCAGGACCAGCGCTTTCCACCTTTCCCAGACGACACTTGTCTATCTGCGCCATAGGACTGATGCGACCTGAAGGAGACAGAGGAGGAGCATTTTCAAACAGCGATTCCGACTGGTCAGATGATCGGCGGCGCCCCAGCACCTTTGCTTTGCTATGGCTTGCCGCCGAGCCTGCAGTCTCTGTGCGAGCTCGTGTGGGTCTGGCAATCGGGGAGATATGCTCCGGTTGCGCTCCCTTTGCCTTTGACCGCGGTGAAATGTCTGTGATTGTGTCGTTGGCAAAGGCCTTACCAGCCATTTGTGAAACCCCACTAGCACTGGTCTCCTCTGACTTGCTCTCCTCTCTTCTCATCCGGCCGGCAGGTCTACCCACGATGTTCGAGGAGCGCTCCCTCTTCTGCACAAACGAAGATGTAGCCTCCTTATTCAGGACGATAGGTCTCTGGATGTCCCAGTATAATCGCAGGACACCTTTGCACACAAAGTCAGCGTCGGTGTCTCGCTCAACTGTGATCTCATACAGGCGACCACCACTGGATTTGTAAGCGTTGTAGTCGCTTATCATGGATATCATCCTCTGCTTTTCCTTCGGGTCCATGGCTGCTCGAGAGCGGTGGACACAAGCTTCCTTTGCGATCAGGTTGAGAGACGCACATTCGGCCAGCACCACACTTCTCTTGCCGGCCAAAGGACTACTTGCGTTCCCAAGTCTTTGCTTTCACTCTCACCGTCTTCGCAAAACAGACATGACTCACACTTTCCGCATTCCAACGGCCTCGAAGCCTGTCATTGAACTCCACAAGCAACAGACGAAGCTAAAAGTAAACGGTGATGATTGGAAATCATCTAAAGTCAAAGATCGATCTCGTCCACAACAAGTGAACAATGCAAGTGCCGAGGCCTGACCTGAGGTTGATTTCTTCGTCACCGCGGATCGGAGTCGACCACCGACCACGTGGTCGATCAAAAACCCGGAAATATCCATTTTGCACAAAATACAATCAAGAGTTCATAATCATAATAATACAATCAAGAGTCGTCTTCAATCAAACCATTGCAATTTGCCTCGCACGGGCTTGAATCAAATTTCGAGAGAAGGTGGGTTTCTTGAACGCTATAGTCGATCCTGCAGCGGACCATCCATCAATTTTTTAGCTACTCTTGGCTAGAGAAGGAGAAAAGAATGAACTTCGAATTACAAGGATTGCAACTCAATCTCACTTCGAAATAAGCGTTCAAAGGACATAGCCAATGTACTGTAAACAGCTCTTCTGTACGAAGACCGGGTTCGAATTATCCAACCGGCGCACTTTTCGTACTTCGAATTATGCATTCGATTTTGACTTGAAGTGACTTGCAGAAGATCGGTACGACGAAAAAGTTCGAATTACACGGAATGTTCGAATTATACCGTATTCGAATTAGAGGGAGTCTACCTGTAATAATCTTCCATGATACTGAAATACATTTGGGCATGGGGAAATGATGAGCCCTGTGCTCTGTAGCCGATCTGGAGCCGTAACCCCCTCCCCTGAGGAACTGGCTCCAGGGCCTGGCTGACAAGTACAATGTACATTGTCCATCAACTAATCCCCCCCCCCCCCCCCACACACACACACAATGGTTGCCTCTTCGCTTTGTCATACCACAACCATTCAATGCGGTGAACCCCTCGATAGGTTTTTTCTAGGGTACCCTGTAAGAAGGCCTTAGGCCTGTGGGGATTGCCCTATCAAAAATTTGATAATAAATAATAAAAATAGGTGATTTGCCTTTGGGTCATCCTAATAAAGTAACATGATCTGGTTCATGCACTCTTGTCAATCTTGATAAAAAAAATTATAATTTAATTACCGGTATGATCAAGAGTCTGTTTACTATGTAGACTTACTACTCGTACCCTGATTCTCGATCTCTTCTAATAACAAAATAACATGTATCAAGAGTTCATAACCCCCATCTATATTATAATGATATGAACCAGGGAGTCGTCAAATATGGTATTTGACGACTCCCTGACGTCACAATCAAGGCTAAAGGGACAAGCCCAACTATTTTTGCGGATTTTCTGTCATAAAAAATAAACGTCACAGGCTGCTCTTCGTAGGTGTCCGCGTCCCAGCGGTCCGGGCAAGCGACCGCACCTCAGTGGGACACTTGGCCGTGGCTTTTGTACTGCAATCTGTGGGAGAGCCTTTCCAGGGGTAGTACACACCTGGCCTGGGTACCAGGTATGGACGAATCCCTGGTACATGGTGTTGATCCTTTTTTGTTCCTTTCCTTTTTATTTGTTTTTGCTGAGAAAGAAACGTTGCTGTTTCTGTTCCCGCCAGCGCCTTTGCTCTAGTAAAACATTGCTGGCTGATAAATGGTCATTGCTCGTGATGCCAAAGGTGAAGGGAATCTGGGTTTCTTGCCATTTGCAACTCCCTGTCTCTGAAAATGTAGCTTGTAGCTCCGAGTATGTTAGTTTTTCGACATGCCAGACCTATTGGTATGAGCTGCAGAGATGAGGAGCAACGAAGGCGTTGGATTAATGCGTTGGATTGATGCCAATAATGGTGTTTATGGCCGGACAACGCCAGCGGTTTTCACTTGTCAGGAGGACAGTCAAGTTGGAGCAGGCAGATGACGGATTATTAATTTTGGCGCAATTTTGGCGCATTTTTTTGCAGAGTGGGTGGCTTGCCGAAGAGAATCATCTCAGTACCTCATGGTTACTAGTATCTGACAAATGCCTCTTATTGCTAGTCTGCATTAGAGCATAGCAGAATTGGTCATGTCACAAGTACTAGTAGTGTCAAGACTTGATGTGCTACGATTGTACTCAGATCATGTGGCAACTTCACGGTAATTCGTCCTGCCACTTTACGCTCTCCCGGAATTCCCTGCAGAAGTCACGTGCCTGTGCAGGGGACCACGTGTTTGCATTGCTTACTGATGCAAGCGGATGGAGTGCAGAGCAGATAAGAAGACATAATCTGGCTATTCAAATAGCTTCGGCTGCTATTAATTGGCTGGACTCCTGGAAACGTGGGCAAGAATCTAAACCAGTCCACGGAAACGATGTGACGCCACACAGGAAGCTAAATGGCAAACCAATCAAGTTCTTTGGTAAACCTTTCACCAACGTTGTCCGGTTTCATGCCTAGTGTCACTCACACAAGACCAATGGATGCCACATGTACCTAAAAGATACGCTGTTGATCAACCACAACTCCAATACCACTGAGCAGCGTCTTCTATACAGATCCAATTAGATATTGAAGTATATGAGTCGAAGTTGCTGGTATAGTCTCTCCTAATGACCGCGTATTTGGCATAATTTTCTCTATACTGCACTCTAGAGCTACTTACCTTTTCCGACATTGAACTCAGGCAGTGACCACTCGCCCACAGAATGAGCCAATTGACACAGACACCAAGTACCATGTGCATTCGTCGCAAGAGAGACACGCAAGTTTGCAAGTGCAGTGGATGTACACCCACTGATTTTCTCTTATGCCAACGATATCAGACATGACCTGAGTGAAACATATCAAGACTAGCACAGCATTACTGCCCAATTCCGTAATTATAATTATTGCGATGCCTTGTGAAAGGATTCTCAATGCACACCTGGTCTACGCCACACGGAATACATCGGATGATAATGACCAAGACAGCTGCCTATGTCTTTCTCTTTCCCTCCCCCTCTCTCTCTCTCTCTCTCTCTCTCTCTCTCTCTCTCTCTCTCTCTCTCTATCTTCATCTATATCTATCTATCTATCCAATCTGGGGACAGAACTGTTTCGTCCTTTGTGGACTCATTAGCACAGCACAGAGAAATGAGGCCGAACCTGATTGCAATGAAAAATAAATTCCAAAGCCATATTTAAACCAGGGCCGAATATACTGTGCCAAAAATATCTCTCTATCTATCTCTATCTCTTTATCTCCTTGAGGGCACACTGGGTCCCCTGTTTTCGCAATTCTCCACCTATCAACTCCCTTCTGTGTTTGTGTGTGTGTGTGCGTGCACGGGTGCAGGGTATATGCGCACATATCTTTCCTTCTCTTCCTGTCTTTACCTGGTTTGTGAATCGGCTTTTTAATCATATTTTTTTTCGGCTCACTGTTTTATGAGTTCACCTCATTATTGCACACAGGCAAGCAGTCAGGCAGCATTACAACAAATCAGCTTTGCTTCACTCCTGTACAGTAGTGTCTACTACACTCTGCTTTCGCCGCATTCGACAACTCTCAGCACTCTAGATCTGTGTGCATTATGCTGCTACCTACTTGTATTATACTACTTCAGTATTAGAAATCCAACGAACGAAATCTCTCGTATCTGTGTGTCTCCACATGTTTCTCTGTCTGTCTGTCTCTCTATTCTATTAATATATCTATCTGTCTGCCTCTCTCTCTCTCTCTGTGTCTATGTGTCTCTGTCTGTGTCTTGGTTTTTCTGTATGCCTGTCTTTGTCATTCTCTAGCTGTCTGCCTATCTCGTTCTGTCCGTGTGCCTGTCCCTATCTGTCTGTCTGTCCATCTGTCTGTCTGTCTGTCTTCCTTTCTGTTTCTCTGTCTCCATCTGTCTGTCTCTGTTTTTCTGTCTGCTTCTCTTCTTCAGTCTTTCTCTGTGTGTCTCTCTTTGTCCCTCACTCGGTCACTGTTCTCTGTCTCTTTCTTTCTCAGTTTTCTCTCTCTGTTTCTGTGTGTGTGTGTGCGTGTGCGCGTGTCTCTCTCTCTCTTCTCTTCTTCTCTCTCTCCCCCCCCCCCTCTCTCTCTCTCTCTCTCTCTCTCTGTGTTTCTCTGAATCTTCGTCACGGCCTTTCTGTCTGCCTATCTGTGTTTGTCTGTGTAACTCTCCAGCTGTCTCCCTGTCTTGGTCTGTCTCTGCTTGTCTCTCTCTGCTTGTCTCTCTATGTTTGTCTGTCTTCTTGGCCCTGTACTTATGTCGCTGTTTCTCCGTTTGCTTCTCTTCTGTCTCTCTCTCAGTCTCTGTGTCTTCTTCCTTCTCGATCTGCCTCTCCCTTTCTTAGTTTTTTTCTCACTGTCTCTCCCTAAGGACCCTCTGTCTCTGGCTCCCTGAGTCTTTGTGTCTGTCTCTCCTTTTGTCATTCATTATGTGCGTCCCTCTGTTTCTGTCTCGGTCTTTCTGTGTCTGATTGTCTGTATCTGTCTGTCTTCTCCTCAGTCTGTGCTTTGTCTCTTTCTCTCTGAGTCTGTGTCTCTGTCTGTCGCTCTTTATGCGCAGCATCCCTCCGTTTCTGTCTTTCTGTGTCTGTCTGTCTGTCTCTATCTCTCTACCAGCCGCTGTTCTACACATAATGAAATTGTGTGGCACCGCGCATGTGGCTATGCGTGGGACATTCACACGCACACACACACATCCGTACGCTCGATCATACAAGTACATGTAGCAGTGAAGAATTCACCTCAGACACATTATTAAAACGTATCTCTCTTTCTCTCTCTCTCTCTTTCTCTCTTTCTCTCTCTCTCTCTCTCTCTCTCTCTCTCTCTCTCTCTCTCTCTCTCTCTCTCTCTCTCTCTCTCTATGCCTGCCACTGTGCTGCATATACAGTTAGTGAAATTGAATGGCACAGAACACGTACATGACTGTATATTTACGCACACATGGGGCATTCACGGATGCACCCACACACACCATGTATACGCCCGTCGCAAGAGAAGCACCAAATCTGCAAATGCACACCCACACACACACACTTGTACGCTCGATCATACAAGTACACACACACACACACTCATACGCTCGATCATACAAGTACAATGTAGATTATGTAGTAGTGAAGAATTCACATCAGAGACATTAAAACGTCTCTCTCCCTCTCGCTCTCTCTCTCTATGCCTG